ACAGCCTTCCACGTCGTAAGCCAAGATGGGTGAGTCCATGAATGCTAATTAACAATGTGATGTAGATCTGTGAGGATTTTCAAATTCTAGAGTCTCACCGTCTATTTTCTGTCAGAAGCTGAGGAGATAGGTGTAGGAGACTATTTTCATGTTCAACCTGCATGAAAAGCTCAGAGCGATTGATTATAATCCGAAAAAACATTTAAAAAAATTTTTCAGTAAACCACATCTTTAAGAAAGCTAGTATTGTGCCTCATGATTTTCATCTATATTAAAAAGTTTTTTCTTCTATTTCTAATAAGTAAGACAGTGGTTATTTATAACTTTCACCCAGAAACACACTTTAAGAAGGCTAAAAAGTCTCTTGGTGTAAGAAATGTTCCTCACCACAGCCTTTTTCTAAAAACTAGTTCAGGTAAACTATAAGTACTGGAAATTTTAATTGAGGCATGTATGATGGAGTCTGCAAATCCCAACGGTGTAGACTAAGGATGAATCGCACATCACTAATCTATTTTTTTTGTTTGTTTTGAAGAAAATTATAAAATTTACTAACTTTTACATAACACTTTGGAATAAGTCACAATTATTTTGCCTAAAATGAATGCATTTCTTATCTGAAGGTCATGGTTCAAAGTCATACAGCTTTTCTTGTTATGCAAGCCGGTCTTTGAAACAGCTGCTCTTCCAGTACCTAGCTTTATTATTCACACCAGACAGACATTTTCTCCTTGACTGTAAATGCATCACATTTTAAATCAGTTAGATGAAAGCATCTGTTTTGAGTGCTTATTACTTGCTCCAGCAAAGACAGTCCTTGTGCTGGTAATGACTGCACTCCCCAGTACAGGCATGGTGTTCCTCAATGATTTGAATGCATAATTAGCATAATAAATACTTCTGTCACATATGAAGACTCGTTTTGTGAGGCAATCGTTGCGGAGAGCAAATCAACGGTTCCCACTTCTCACAAGAACCTGCAATAACATTAATGTAATTTTGCCATTGCAACATAAATAAATGCATGTGATATATACACATATGCATACTGTTTAGGCAGCGCAGACTCCTTTTGTGCAGTAATAACGGGGAAGGGATTGATAGTTAAGCTCTAGCTGTATGGAATATATAATCTGCTGTCCCGCAGTTTTGTATTCAACCGTGCCCAAGTGGGGAACAACGTGTCATTATTACAGGCCTATACTCGATGCACAAGCTGACAACTGCATGTATATCTGCTCTTTTTTGTGTGTGTGTGGATTGTAAACAAGCTATGAATACAATTTTCCACTATGGCAGAACTATATGTCCACCGAGGTATAAAATGAAAATGTCTTATTCTGGAGTTCAGGACAGTAGGAAGTAATTCCTGGTTTTAGCCGAGGAAAGAAGTTTTCATGCTATGCTCATGTTGGAAATTAGACCAGAGTGTGACAGGGAGGATAAAGATGATGACTGGGCCATAAAGAGCTTGTCTGTGTTTAATGCCCAAGGAGTTAGGGTCTTTCTTTAAACCATAAAGCCATTCCACATCTCACATTACAAATTACTCATCTATTGTAATAATATTCATGTGTGTTATCTTTCAGTCATGTCTACATATGGAGCTGGAATGTTCTGGATAATTTTTAATGTGAAGGTAGATTTTGGAGAAGGAGAGAAAAGCAAATTCCCTCATCAAAGCTCATTGTTGTGCTTTCATCAATGATATTGTGTGATAATACATGATGCTCATGACTGGAGGGTAAAGAGTTACATGTAATGCATTTACAAATGTTATCGACAAAGTTAATAGAACTGTGATGCATTACATTTGCTGAGAAACACATGTAATTTAATGAGTTACTTATGGAAACATTTATGATTACTATTTGTGTTAAATTATCATCTGTAAGAAAAATAAAACCGTGAAGAAGACTTGGTTGTTTTTGGTATGTTGTTCCTTTTTTTTTGGTGCATTCCTTAGAAACTACATTAATTTAATGTGTGGCACATACATGCTCACAACACACTTGCAGCACGCAATGCTCTTTTAAAGTTGCGGTGTGTAAGAACAAAGTAAGATTTCTACAGTAAAATTATCCCCCAAACCTCAAAATGTCTAAATCATGTAGAAAGGAAGGCTATACTGAACAGCGCTTCATCCTTCGGGGGTTGTCAGTTTTTCTACCTTCAAAATAAAGGAAGGAGGGACGTAGCTACTGTTTACCATCAGTGAGTGTGAGGTTACTACGAGCTAGCGCTGCAGCACATGTAGCATTTGTTATTCGACTACAGCTGGAAAAAAAGAGTTGTTTAAAGGACCAAAACCATTAACAAGGTCAACCCAAAAGTTATTTTTTGTACCCCTAAGAAGCAACGGCATCTTTTTGTTTTACTCTAATATTGGGTAAAGAAGGCTAGAGGCTAATGTTGAGCTAGCAATGCTAATGGTGACTTAGAAGAAAATAGTTGCCTATAAAAATATCTCAAGCTACTATTTCAATTACTAACAGCTTAATATTGCAGTGAAATGTGTGAGTGAAGTGAATAATGAGTGAAATATGGTATTTTACTTCCTTAAATGAGTCATTCAGAAATATAACAGTAAGCTACCAGCAAGACGGTAAAAACACTCCCTCTTTACAGCATAGTACCGTAATATGTGTAGTAAGTGCTCCCTACCGTAAAACACCCAAGAGTGCTGGCACCAGCTATGACAAACTATTTATCTTTTTATGAACTTACTGTGTATGACTCATCTTTGCTTGTCATCTAGAATATTCTGTTGCTGATCCGTACCTGGCAACAGCCATGAAACTCACAAAACAGGAATGAGAGAGTGATATCATTAACCAAATTTCACCACAAAATGTCATCTAAACTTGTACTGCAGCTATTTCCTAATGTTGTGATTTCTCGCACTTATGGCAATGAAACCCTTCTGATTCAGATTGTAAAGTGACATCAGCAACAGATTCCAAACCACAAATGCACTAAAGAATAGGACAGGTGCTTACTACTCTTTGTGTTGCAGAAGGCCAAATGTATATTTTTTGATTAAAGTGCAGACTCAAAATGTCAGCTGTTATTTATGAAGGACATTTAAAAAAAACAAGAAGTAGCAGAACCTAACTAGAAAACGGCTTCACAATAAAAAAAAAACACAGTCAACTAAAACGATAAAACTTCTACTGATAAAAATATTTCACATTAAAAAGAGGGGATGAAATTTGACCTTGGTTGTTTACTAGCAAACTGATGAATTAGAATGATGATAGTTTGTGTGTTTAATGGATTTTATTAGTGCTTAAACAATTTAAAATGCTTTACAGCCACAATCACAAGGTTACTATTCTGCCTAATCGGTGCTTACATCAGTTATTTTAAAGCACTTAATTACCTCCAGTTACTGATCCTATAAACCCTCCAAACTGGACTGTGCTGCTTCACTACTGACCCTGTAGCTGTAGCAGCGTGTGAGGGAGGAACCCACACCGTGAAACCATACTACTGCTTCTCCTACCATCACTTCCACGGCTGCACAGACGTGAGCTCCCACAACAGAGCTAAGCTTTGGAAAAGGAATTTGCTTGATGATGGAGAGGATGCATTATCTGGTGGTACAGTAGAGTGCGTGTGGCCCGAGAAGACTAGCTGCCTCCAGCCCTCAAAGTAGGAGCGGCGGTCTCCTGGGTCCTTGTAGGAGAATGGGCTGAAGCTGCAGTCTAATTCATCACAGCTTTGGAAGAAACAAGCAATCGCAGAGACTTCTTAAAAAGAGGAAGAGAGAAGGGGAAAAAAGAAAAGAAATAAAACCTGTGCGGAAGACACAACAGCTCTCACTGGACTGGGGCAATTCCCCTGGTCATCATAGTTGTCTGAGGACCTGTCAGCTTCCACATGGCTGGCTTATACTCTGAGACAGAGAGATAAGAAAACATAGATGAAATGGGAAGACAACGAGATGACGGAAAAAGAACAGAAAAGTGGGACCATACGTAAAGTAAAAGAACAGAACCCCACACAGTCTTCATGCAGATGGAACTTAGAGCTTATTTACAGCGCCGTGTATTTTGTCTGCGTTTGATGTGGTTGTTCAGCGTTTATGAACTGCCACTCATTGTCCTTACTGAGGTACCAGACTGCTGAGGATACAACACGCCAGGGTTTCCGTGACAACCTGGTTTGCCTGTTCAACTGGGGGGAGGCTTCCCAGATTGAAAAGTGGTCCTCTGGGGAGCTGTACTTCAACCAGCTTGGAGGCTTTGCCAGGGAGAAGATCGGTTTGAGGGGCCATCACAATACGAGATTCTACTCCGAATGGCCACTTTGACATTCCTGGCATAATTGGAAACACTTTCTGACGGAGGCCTGTTTTAAAATGCATGGAACGACAGAGAAGGGGATGGATTCCATTTTGATTCTACTCATGAACCGCTCTCCAGTACCCTGACAGGAATGTACCACATATGTTATGACCCACCCATTTGTCAAACTGCCAACTGTTGTTCTTTCACCTTGTTTTATATAAGTATAAAACTAAGAGGCTTCTTTGAATACACGTTACACCTGCTCTTCCAAGCAGATCTCCCTCTGTAATCTGCCTCTATCTAGACCAGATCTTTTTCTTTCCTTTTTTTTTTCTTTTTTCTCTCATTTTTTTCCCTCTCAGAAGTTGCATAGTGGTTTCATCATCTTGAGCAATAGGAGCCAGCAGGGTATCGCACAAACACAACAGACAGGCTCATTTTTCACAGGTTGACTTCCGAGCTATTCTGCAGGATGTGTCACGACAAACGGCGGATATGTGACAGACTCACGTTGCACCCGTGTCCTTGCATTAGAGGGAGGATGCAGTATATCTTGTGTGTGTAATAGGTGTGTGTGTGTGTGTTTGGCTAGTGTCTACTGTATGTTTGCATGCGGCTTGTTAAAAACCAGGTTTTCTCGTCTCTCAAAAGTCCTCGCCACAGAGTGTGTGCTTTTACCGATGTAGTAACAGTGGACCTTCTTCCCAGCAGGCCTCAGTTCTCCGCCAGCCAACATCACCACCTCCGCTGTTCCCAGCATCGTCACGCCCATCGTCAACGGATTCACCGGCATCCCCCATCAGCCCAATGGACACCCCGCAGTGGAGACTGTGTACACCAACGGCCTGCCGCCCTACTCCACTCAGAGCCCCACTGCCGCTGACACCCTCCAGCAAGCCTTCACTGGTGTACAGCAATACACAGGTGAGTGAGAACGACAAGATCCACCAGGTAATTACTGCAGGGTGTTTACCGTGAATGATTGTAGTATGTATTCAGATCGTGTAAGACGGCGCCTTAGAACACATCAAAGAGCTTTTGATTCCTCACGCCACGCCTGTATGATCGACCTTAAGCATCCTTGACACCGTTCTCTGCAGGATTCCTGTTTTTACACTCCTCTCTCCTCATTTCTCTATCCATTCTGCAGCCATCTACCCAGCCACCACGCTGACTCCCATTGGCCAAACACTGCCCCAACCACCCCAGGTCATCCAGCAGCAGCAGCAGAGAGAAGGTGAGGGTGAGAGAACATTATTACTTTAACACTTCACACATCCCATATCTGCTGTAATGGATATAAAAACCAGAGACGAGCATGAGAGACCAATATTGCTTTTACGCCGTGCACATCTCATTTCTGCCGAATGGGTAAACAGAGTGGAATGGTCGAGAAAACAGGAACATTGAGTGCCATTCACACAATATTTGAGGTAACCTGGAGATTATACGGACCATAAAGGTACACAGCAGATATAAAACACCACTTTTATGTTTAAAATACCTGTTTGTTTGTTTTTTTTCTAAAATAAACTACATATCTTTTTGATAAAACTATGAAACCCGATACTGCAGCCAAAGTGGACAAAAATTAGAAAAATATGGAAATGATGGGAGCAGGAAAACTAGGGCAGCTTCTTTGAAAAAAAGTAAAGTGGTTCTTCTCACACCTGCTACATGCCAAAAAAGGGAGAGAAGAAAAACTATGTCAGGTCGGAAGTACGAGGTTATTACTAAAAGCATCATATGAAACAAGTGAATGTGATGCCAAGATCAATCAGGTTTGACAGAGTAATACTTTCTAAATGAAGGTAGACGACTGGAGAAGCAGATGTTCTGAGAGTAAAAACTCTATCTGCAGGTTGGCAGTGATGACGTTAGGTCACCATTTGGTTTTGAAGGATAATAGAGAACACAGCCATTGGCTGCTTCATCTTATTGTATGCTTGTAAAAGTGTAAATGACTGATTTGTGTGTATGTGTTTTTCTCTGTGCATGTCCAGGTCCAGAAGGCTGTAACCTGTTCATCTACCACCTGCCACAAGAGTTTGGAGATAATGAACTCATGCAGATGTTTTTGCCCTTCGGTACAGTCATCTCTTCTAAGGTCTTCATGGACCGGGCAACCAACCAGAGCAAATGCTTTGGTGAGTTTCTCTTCACCTTACATCTGAGTACAGAGCCCAGAGATGCACCATTACAGTTATCTTTTATGACCTAATAGCCTTATACTTTAATGTGTTTAAGAGCTTCAAAGTTTTTTTCCACAATTCAGAGATCAAATATGATAACGCAAGGATCTTTTTTTACATGCAGTTTTCACTACATAAAAAATTTGTTCAGTTTATTTGACTCTGACAACATCTGACAGCCTTCAGATATAAAGGGCAGAATGATCTTACCCCCGATGAACTGACTGAAATTTGCATCTTGATGACTGCTGTGTTTTAGCATGAACATTGCAAAAAAATAAATAAAAACGCTGTCCGAGTGCATTGTTGCCAAAGCCTCAGTCGGTCAATCAGCCCTGGTGTCCTTGTTTCTGCGTGGCGGATGTTTGACCTGGAAACCTTGAGGTGCGGCATCAGCATCCTCATCACCGCTCCGTAACCCTTATTTATGTCAATACCTGTACAGCTAAGGCTGATTCATACACCTCCACACAGCTCCACAGGCAAACGCACACACTAACCTCACAGGTGCAGAAACATCCAGCAGTGATGGCTGATGGGAAGCTAGGCACCTGGACAGTTGTGGGTTAGCAATTGTTTTCACTCGAGGGAGCCATGCAACTTTTATTGGAGTGTGTGTGTGTGTGTGTGTGTGTGTGTGTGTGTGTGTGTGTGTGTGTGTGTGTGTGTGTGTGTGTGTGTGTGTTTGTGTTCAGTAACACAAATTTATGAAAGAATTGCCATTTGCAGTATCGACTTGTACTTTGTGCATTTACAACATAATGTTTGGCCTGAGGAAGAAGGAAGCACGGGTGTAATTAATTTGGAAGCGAGAAAGAGGGGATAAACCTAGATTTATGGTGTGTAAAACAGAAAGAAAGCACGCGTCTGTGACAGAAAGGTCCATTTCTGCATCCACATCCTCCCCCATAGCCTAAATGTATTGAGCTGATGGCAGGTTAGGGGGTCACCTCCTATTTTTTTCTGCCTCTTTACTTTCTTCCAGCTTTCACGCAGGCCTCCTTTCCACTGCCGAGCCCTAATGGGCCAAACGAGACCCGGGAAGGCCAGGCGCACTGTCTCCCAGGTGGCATTGGACGTGGAGGGGCTCCTGTTGTTTTTCATGGGTCATTAACTGTACCTAATGGCAGCACACACACGAGGGAGCATATCAAACAGACACACACTCCACCGCAGTTTCACTGAAATCTCAAAGCTTACACACAATAAAAACAGGATGTTCGGCTTTGCTGATGAGCTTATTTTGGAGAGATGCTCTGGTGAGATTCTCTCAGCTTTCAGACTCATCTAACAATGAGCTGTGTTTGTTTTTAGGTGACATCACATTTAATTATACACATGCACTCATTTCTTCTTGAAGTTTGAACTTTTTATTTAATACATTTGTTGCTCAGTTCATCATCCAAACGTGTATGACCTCCACTGTAATACAATTTGTACTACTAAATCATTGGTTCACTGTCCTGTTATTTAATTGGGTGTTTTCCATTTCTTTTATCCTGCAAAATTCAGGACAAGGACCAAAAAGCTACTTAATATTACATCTTTTCCAGAAAGGAATAAAAAATATGCATTATAATGTAGAGAGTGATGTAACTGCCCCCAATATGTTTCACAAATATCCCACCAAGTCTTCTATATTTAAAGAAATAGCAACTATTGCATCACAGACTAATAATCTCCCTCTATTTTAAATTCAATTCAATTCAAAAATACTTTATTAATCCCAGAGGGAAATTGATTGCTGTAGTAGCTCAGAATAATAATAATAATAATCAAGTCATCAAAGAGTTATTGTATATTACAGTGGCTGTTGGCAGGAAGGTTCTCCAGTAGCGGTCAGTGTTGCAGCCAAACTGAAGAAGCCTCTGACTGAAGACACTCTTCTGTTGTCGGATGTTGCAGGTATCGGGCCAGCACAATCCCCACTAACAGCTTAAATATAAATTATTGAGGGAACGTCCGGGTGCCTGAAATGCAAAAAAAAGAGACAGAGACATCAGAATGGAGTGGTTTCTGTGAACTGCTGCTCCCGAATAACGGTAGATGGGACACAGCGCTCCACTAGCCGTCTCGCATCCCCCCCGCCACCTTGTGGAGAACCTCGGTATTGCACCCCACACTTTCCTATTCTTATTTTATTACTTTTACTAAATTACACCACTAAATACTTTAACAAAATTATGTGACCACACTTTGTGGGCGTCACACTCTCTTCGGCAAACAAAAGAAATCTTCCCATAACTAAAAATTGCAGTTCTTTCTCACATATTTACAGATTTTAGCGGTCCTTAACACAGTCACCCTTTAATGAACGAATAACAAAGGCTGCGTAAATACCTGAGTTTGGTAAGGGTTTTTCGGACCCATAATCGGTGATAAGTAAGTAGTACTAGGTAAGTATGGTATGCCCATGGCTGGAAGGTAAGTCACAGTTGGGTACGTATTTGTAATGACAGGTGAGTGATGGGGCTTGTTGTCAATCACACTAACGGTTGCCTGTGTGTACAGTGACGGCTGACCCAGGTAATCATAAGTGAACACCTGACGTGGTCTTCGATCTCGCGTCGACCTTCTGACCTCTGTGGGTCCCACCTGTTGGTCCTGGTCAGACATGAGATTGTCTCCCAGTTCCTCCTCTGCATGGTCAATAGTAAGTCCATCTTTCCCGGCTACAATTGACTCCTCCTCCTGTACATGAGGTAACGTGAGATCCTCCCCTGCTTTTCCCAATGAGCAGCGGGTTCCAAATGACACCTCCTCTTTTAAATGCACTTCTGTTTCGTCCGTCAACCTCTGTGTGTCCTCCTGTCCTGCTCCTGACTGATGTGTCAGTGGTTGGTCACCCCTTGGTATTCTAAGCCAGTACCCTGAACAGTGTTCTTCCTCAGAGTCACTCTCTGCATCCTGACTGTCCCTCATTTGTTCATTTGTGTGGACAGCTCCCTTCCTGAGTACTCTCCTTGCTCGCGGGTTTGTACTCCTCTTAGATTTTTCCATGGAGTCACACCCCTCAACCGGTAGGTCATTTACTAACAACAGGAGATTACGATGCAGAGTACGCGTCCTCTTGTTGTCTCCGCTCTCAGGCTGGACAGTGTACACTGGGTTTTGGCCTATTTGTCCTGTCACGATGTAAACAGTCTTTTCCCAATAGGATCTCAACTTGCCAGGCCCTCCACGTTCACTGAGGTTTCTCACTAGGACCCGATCTCCTGTTTGCAACATGACTCCCTTCACTTTCCTGTCATACTCTATTTTCCCCCTTGCGCTGGACTTCTTACTGTGTTCACCGGCGATACGGTAAGCTTCCGCCATACGTTTTGCCCATTTCTCGGCAAAACCCTTAGGTGAATATGTTTCTCTGTCTTCTGGTAGTCCGAATAACAAATCCACCGGCAAGCGGGGATTTCGTCCATACATCAAAAAAAAAGGCGAGTATCCAGTGGCTTCATGGCGTGTACAATTATATGCGTGCACTACATGAGCCAGATGATCCTTCCACCGCCGCTTTCCTTCATCAGGTAGAGTTCTTAACATTTGTAAAATGGTTCTGTTGAACCTCTCAGCGGGGTTACCTTGCGGGTGATAAGGGGACGTGCGGGAATGACCCACCCCAGACAGATTTTGAAGTGTCTTAAACAGTTCATTCTCGAACTCCCGCCCCTGGTCGTGATGTACTTTCTGTGGGTACCCAAACCGGGGAATGAAATCCTGAAAAATACACCCAGCGGCTGTGCGTCCACTTTTGTCTTTTGTAGCATAAGCCTGAGCAAATCTTGTAAAGTGGTCGACGACAACCAAGATGTACTCATATCCTCCCACACTTTTCTCCAAGTGTAAATAGTCGACACACACCAGCTCTAAAGGACAGCTGGTGGCTATACTACCCATGGGGGCACGGACATGCGTAACAGGTTTTTTTGACATAATACAAGAGCATTTCTGGATGATATACAACTCGACCTCTTTTGCCATGAATGGCCAATAGAACCTCTCCCTGGCTATATGCAGTACCCTTTCGGTACCCACATGCCCCATTTTGTCATGTAGTTGTTGTAGGACCAACTTCCGATATTTCTCAGGGAGAACTAACTGTTTCCTATCTCCCGTCCTCCGGAACAGGAGACCGTCCTCCAGACACAGCTTTGTCCACTCATGTAGCATCTTCTGAGCTGTTCTACCCACTGTCCTCCGTACTTCATCTGTTAACTTGGTTTGTGACTCTTTCAGTCTTATCACCTGGTTGATGTTGTGATCCTCCCGCTGGGCTTTCACCAACTCACTGTGACTGATGTTCGGGAGGTTGGCAGTCAGTATAGGTGGGGTCTCATCAGCCGTCGCGTTGAGGATGGCGATCCAAGCAACATCCTTCTCCTGAGCGATCTGACTCCCGTCCCATGTAGCCCGAACCGCCTCATCTGAAAAAGTCTCTGTACACTCAGGCATGTACTCCTCCATGTCCAGTGGTAACCGTGATAATGTATCTGCGTCTGTGTTAGCTTTCCCAGGCCGATATTTTATGTCAAATCGGAAATCAGAGAGTTCCCCCACCCACCTGTACCCAACGGCATTAAGTTTTGCTGTGCTCATAATGTAAATCAGGGGATTGTTATCTGTGTAAATGGTGAAATGGGGTGCGTAATACAAATAATCTCTGAACTTCTCGCATACGGCCCATTTCAATGCGAGAAACTCCAACTTTCCACTATGTAACCGGTAGTTACGTTCCGCTTGTGTCAAAGTCCGTGATCCATAGCCTATTACACGTAACTTGCCATTTTGATTTTGGTAAAGGACGGCTCCCAATCCCTTATCTGATGCATCAGTGTGCAATGTGAAAGGCAAATTAAAATCGGGGTAGGCTAGTACCGGTGAGCTTGTGAGGAGAGTAACTAGGTTTTCCAAGGCTTCTTGGTGCATACTAGTCCATATAACAGGCTCTTTTGAATGGCGCTGAGTACGTTTGCTGTCCTTCCTAGCAACAGAATTTAACACTGTGCTTGACTTGGTTTGTAATAACTTATAGATTGGCCCAGCTATCCTGGAGAAATCCTGGATGTATGTGCGGTAATACCCCAAGAACCCTGTTAATTTACGTACATCCCCCACAGTCTCAGGTGTTTTTGATGTGTGTTTTCACAGCTTCAAGGTCGCGCGGGTCAATCTTTACGCCTTCAGCGGACACGATCTTCCCCACGTACCTCACTTCGCTTTTGAACAACTTACATTTTTCTGGTCGTAGCTTCACTCCATGTTGTTGTAGGGCACGCAGCACCTTTCGGAGGCATTCTACATGTTCATCAAATGTTTTGGCATAACACAATATATCGTCCAAATAAGGAATGCAACATTCGTCTCGGAGGGGACCTAGCATCTCTTCCATACTGCGTTGGAAGGCGGCTGGAGCGTTGGTCAGTCCAAAAGGGACTCGGACCCACTCGTACAGACCCCAAGGAGTGGTAAAGGCCGTAAACTGCCGGGATCCCTCAGCCACAAAACCCTGGTGATATGCCTTTCCCTGGTCTAGGATACTGAACCACGCATAACCACCGAGAGAATCTGTCAAATCCTGTATCCTGGGAAGGGGATGTCGGTCAGGAACGGTTTTCTTGTTCAGGAGTCTATAGTCAATGCATAACCGTAAACTGCCATCCTTTTTTCTCACACAGACAACTGGGGCTGCATAAGGGGATTTAGATTTTATAATCCACCCTTTCACCAACAATTCCTGTATGTAATCCTTCACTTCCTTAACAAGCGGTTTTGGTATTGAGGAGTAGGCTCTCTGAACCGGAATGTTGTCACTGAGATGAATTGACATCTGCAAAGTAGGAATGCATCCGATGTCGGTACTACCTTGAGCAAATGCACCAGCTTCTTCACACAACATTTTGTTAACCTTCTCTTGTTGCTCAGTTGTCAGATGACTGAGATCCACTGGGGGCTGCCACGATGGTGAGTTATTGACTGTATTGGACACATTGCAAACTGTCATCGTGGGTTCAGGTTCCTCCACCTCTCTAGGTGAGTGTATTTCCACCACTTTGTAAAAACTCTGAATCCTCCCCAGAGATGTTTTTCTCGGTAATGTCACTGGGTGTTTCGTGTTGTTCCCCAGAGGTACTAATACGTAGGGGTGCTTGGTGTGGTGTACCTCGACCAGCCCCTCACCCATGTCTAGTTCAGCGAGACGTTCGTTACTCTCATCCGGTTCGAAAAGGAAAACCGTTTCTAATGAGTTCATGTTTGAGGGGACATAGCATTTAACCCATGCAACTTGACCTGCCTGGATATTTGTCACACATCTGCCGGTGCGTAGCCTCTCGTTGGGATCGATGGAAGTTCCTGCTTGAATAAAGTCCACTAGAAGTTCTGCTTTTTCAGCTGGGATTGATAGGGCATTGTGGAGAAGGCTTATTATCGTGGGGACAAGTCTCTCGGGTTGCTTCTGAATCACTTCCTCCAGTACGTTGAATCCCAATATTGGCCTTTCCAGAGTAAAGCTGCTGACGAGAAAAGGTACTGTGATTGACAAGCTTGGATCAACATTCCCCAGGAGGTTCACTGTTATGGCTACCCATCCCTCAAAGGGGAGACTGTCGCCATTTACAGCATACAGTTTTAGGCCATCTTCTTCATCCAATATCTCATGGATTGGCCTTATGTCCATGTCTGGCAGATATTTGGTTTTCCAGTCTTTATCAATAATGCTCACTTGGGCCCCAGTATCTAGTAATGCACTGATCGCTAAGCCATTTAGATTACACTCGGTCAGTGCTTTTTTTCCAATCAGTTTTGCTAGTTTTTCACCCCTTACATTGGGTGAGGTTGCCGCCAACACGTCAACATGTTTGTTTTCAACTTGTCGCCCATTTTCTCCGCTGCTGCCTTTCCTCCTTGCAGGATGGGACGTTGAGGGAGATCCGGTCACTGTTCGTCCCTCGACAGAGACCGACTCCAGTTTCCCTGACGTGTCAGCTTCTTCAGACAACCCACTGCTCGGTGTCCCTCTTCCCCACAGTAAAAGCAGTGCGGGCAATCAGTCTTTTGCTCCGACAGACACGTAGCGCACCCATGTCGTTTCGGTCTTTGGTAATTTGGTCCACTTGCTGCTCCCCGACCTGTCTGCTGTAACTGTTGTGACTGCAAATGCTCTACTAAACTCGTCAACTTTTCAACTTTCTCCACAAGCTCTTGTATCATGTCTGTTTTCTTATCCGGTTGCTTGGTTGTGCAGCTATCAGGCTTTACAGGGACATTTTGTGAAGCCTTTATCTCTGCTGTTGTGCTCTGGGCATGTACATTTTTGTGTCGAGTGATTTGGCCTAACCGCCGCTGTCTTTCGCTCTCATCGCTCATCATTTTTTTTAAATGTTTGAGTATTGTTTCATCAGCCACTGAAGCGTTAGCTAATAACGGTTTTAGTTCCCTCCGAACGTCACTGTATTTTTGCCCCAGCCCCTGGTATATGGTATGGAGGAACACATCTTGAACCGTACTGGGTGAGTATTTTACATCAGTGGTAAGATGTTTTGAAGCTAATAAAATCTTTTGTTTTAGACCTATTACTCGATATAGAAATTGTTGGGGTGTTTCATTATCATTTTGTCTCGCACACATCAACTCTTGGAACAATTCAGTAGAGTTCTGTTCACCAAGATGAGAATGTAGGAAATCTTTCAGTTCACTCACGGTCAGTTCATCCTTATTCATTAACATATCCTTGAAATTGCCGGGTTTAATTACTTTTAACACAGCTCGCACTATTTCAGTATTGCTAAACTGTTCTTTAAATCCTTCCTCAATCTGCCGGCAAAGGTGATTATAACTGATGTCAGACCCCTGATCTCCGATCTGGCCACCCTGAATTTTAAACTCTCTCCTATGAAGATATGAAAGGTCCTTAAGCGACACTACTTTCTCCTGGGTTAGGCATTCACGATTTTTGACCCTGTCAAGCGATTTAGGAAGTGTAGGCTGGACAGCAGACTGGGGAGTAAGAACGGGAAGAAACTGTGTTATTTTTTTGCTCAACTCCTCGTAACTACTAAGTAGCGCCTGCATTTCTGTATTATTTAGATCCCCCTTTTGATTCCCAGTGCTGTCTACCCTACCATTGTCAGAAAAATCAGCGTCATTTCTCTGGCTCCCCTCTGTGTCTTCTAGCTGTTTATCTGAAGAAGTCCCAAATTCCTCTCTGACTATTTTCACCGACACCTCGTTACTCTGAAGTAGTTGTTCAATCACATCCTGCAGCTCCAACAGATGTGACAATCCTGCATCTTCTGACTCTACCATTTCTTCGCTGTTTATAACATCGCTGATGTACTGAAAACAACTTTCCTCATCCTCTGACGTCAGACGCGATGGCTCTGCTCCTGGTATGGACCCAAGTGACTTAGCAAGTTCAAACAGTTTCTCTTGTGGAAGCGTGAGCAGGCCTCTCCTGATGCTCCGCACCAGGCTTCTCCTCTCACCATCCGCCATGGCTGTCCCACTTTTCTTCTTCCTCTCCCCTGGTCACACACGTTCGGAATTCTCTTCACTCTTCGTCCTGGACAGGTCTCTCTCTCTCTCCGCAGCCGCTCGATTGGGTACCCTCAGTCTGGTCTGGTCTCTCTGTTCGTTGCGGATCTCTTCAGGGCTCATCGGTACTCTCCCCGTACGGGCCACCAAAAACTGTTGCAGGTATCGGGCCGGCACAATCCCCACTAACAGCTTAAATATAAATTATTGAGGGAACGTCCGGGTGCCTGAAATGCAAAAAAAAGAGACAGAGACATCAGAATGGAGTGGTTTCTGTGAACTGCTGCTCCCGAATAACGGTAGATGGGACAGCGCTCCACTAGCCGTCTCGCATCCCCCCGCCACCTTGTGGAGAACCTCGGTATTGCACCCCACACTTTCCTATTCTTATTTTATTACTTTTACTAAATTACACCACTAAATACTTTAACAAAATTATGTGACCACACTTTGTGGGCGTCACACGGACAGTCTTGTGAAGGGAATGCTCAGGATTGTCCATAACGTTCTTGATTCTCTGGAGAATCCTTCATTGCATTATCTCCTCCAGTGGTTCCAAAACTGCCGAAACTCTGGCTGAGTCATTGACAGGGCTTGGAGTCCCTCCATCTTGTTGCCCAATGATCTCACATTGCCCATTATGATCGATGGAAGAGATGGTTTGAATTTCCTCTTTCTCTGTCTCCGTTTTGCTCCCCGCTCTGCACCCACGCTTCTTGCGTTTTCGCTCATTTGGGATTTGTGGCTTCAGCTGAGGTATTATTTCAGCCTTTCCAATGTTAATCTGTTGCTCCCGATTGCAAGCCAGCTTGTTGCCATGGTTATGGTCATAACAAATGCTCAAAAAGTGAATAAAGCTAAAAAATAGCAGTAAAAATCCTCCAAGCTTCACAGCACCAGAAACAGAAAAGTAAAGTGTCCAAAAAAATACAGTTTTTCTTGAGAAACTCGAAGAAAAAATGTGCAAGAAAAGGCAAAACTTACATATAGTCAACAGAGCTACTCCAACATGCAGCCACCCAGAGCAGCGCAGTTCTGGAAAGATCCAGTGGGATCGTGGCCGAATGCTGAACTTTTGTATAGAAGTTTCACTTTAAAGCTCAATCCACTTTTTTCCAGTCGGTTTGATGGATTTGTTATTTTTACTTGCAGGTTTTGTTAGCTTCGACAACCCTGCTAGTGCACAGGCAGCTATTCAGGCCATGAACGGCTTTCAGATCGGGATGAAGCGGTTGAAAGTCCAGCTAAAGAGACCGAAGGATGCCAGCCGCCCTTACTGACACAGCCTACCTTCAGTATTCACTGCAGCAGCACAGGTGAGCCCAAAAAAACGTCAACGAGCCGTGACTGGTTCAAAGTCAGTGTTTCAATGTTCAACATGTAGCTCAATTAAATGTAACACAATTAAACAAGATCATCGGAGGGTTGCAGGTTTACCGCCTGTGTACGGCAGACTCGCCTCTGTCAGTGCACCCCAGGAAAGCTGTGGCTACATCGTAGCTCATCCCCACCCCCCCCCAAGCGCCTTGGGGGTGGGGTGGGGGGGGGGGGTGTCCAGGACTCTAGAAGGTGCCATATCAAATACAGGCCATTTACTATTCTCCCTCAAACTGGTTGAGAGCGGAATCAGAACACTGTGCTGTACACACCAAACCCCCAGTTAGTTTTTACAGATGGCTGCTCATAAAAAAAGTCAAGTTCTGTTGGCGGTTTCTTCCTGTTAAAGGGGAGTTTTCCTCTCCACTGTCACTGCATGCTTGCTTAGAATGGGAATTGCTGCAACGTCTCTGACACAAGTTAGTGGCTCGATGCAATCTGCTGGGTTAGGGTAAGAAATTTTAACTTATCAGCATAACGAACTGAACAAATTTTAAATGTTTACTTTGTGAAGGGCCTTGAGACAACGCTTGTCGGGATTTGACGCAATATGAATAAGTTGAACTGAAAATTGAAGTGAAATTGAACCATTGAGCTACCGCTAACACAAGCAAACTATTTTAACATAAGCCACGGAGTAAAAAGATCAACACTGTTGGACCAAAAATATTATTATTTATAAGACCAGTAGCAACAAAGCCAGGTCACCATCATTCTGTGATTTTGTAGCATTCTTCAATTTCCTCAAATGAGCGTAGGCCATGCCGATGTCTACTCTGGTTTTAGTTCTTTGCTTCACCTCCAAAAAAACTACACTCCCTTACTTTTACTTCTAATCTCCACCATGATGCCACCAAAATAAGAAAAAGAGACGCAGTAAACAGCAGGTAGAGAGCTCCCACTAGTGCACCTACCCATGCCATAAAACTGTTATGTGGGGTTTCTGGTCAGCAGAGGGCTGCAGCATGCTGTCCAGTCAGTGTAAAGTTGCTCAAGTTTCTGGTTCACGAATCACTGGAAAGCAATAGCTCAAAGTGTTAAAAACTCTTTGGTTTTATTTAAACCTTGTCCCAACAATCAGATGCCATAAGTCCTCCTAAGCAGCCGCCTAGCTCTCTGAAACTGTAAATAATGGATGCCCACAAAGCAGGAGAAAGCTATTGAAGGAACGCCAAGTCTTTCCAGGTATTCATTTTCTCAGTTTGTGTTGTAAATAAAAAATGGCATTCAAAACGAGCAGTGGGGGTCTGGTTGAGGTTGGGAACATTAAAAAAAGAAAAGCTGTCTGAGCAGTAGTTCAGTGCAGTGAAAACCTTGACTTACTTGGCAGAATCAGAAACAGAATTCAATATTAAACCTCCTGTCACAGATTGAAACGAGTCCACTGGACTGTAGAAGGAAAGAGGACAACTTACTGCCTGCAATGAGGACTGTGTGCAGAGTCCCATGAACAACCTGAGGGGATCAATAAAGTTTCTATCTATGGCTCTTAAACTCTCCTAGCCTCTGCCTCTACAGCATCATACAGATGTTTGTCTATCTGCATTTATATAGACCTTAGACAAAGATGCTTATGCAAAAAATAAATAAAAATGGAACTAGAAAGTTTCCACATGAAAAAAAATTGAAATCAGCGGGCTAAAAAACATTTTGAGGTGAGTTTTTGTGGAAATTGTATGCACATTTTATATCTCACCCGGCATAGACATCTATTTGAATTGCTTAAGCTTGGAGAAACAGAGATTGGTTCTGATGACTTTGATACGCTAATGGCTAGTCACAGAGGAGCCAGTAATAAAATCAACTCAGATCTCAGAGATTTCCTTTAGCTAATGCACAAATAATTTTATAAGCCTTTCCAATTCCAGTTTCACATAACACTGGAATTCTGGCAGACATATGATGGAATTCTGACTGGAACCAGACCAGCTACAGACAATGGCAGACAGATAGGTGCTGCTAAATGTCAGCAGTTCATTTTTGCTGCATGTAATTCGTTTTAAAAAGCAGTTTAATGCAAACTTTACACTACCTTTAAAGGGTTTATAAAATAGCAGATATGAATGTTGTTGTGTCTACCATTAGGGGGCAGTATAGGAAAGGAGAACATAAGTAAGAGGGAGAAGAAATGCTTAGAGAGAGAGTTCAGATGGAGGCCTGATTCTGCTACAAGTGATGCAGAAATTCTTCCCTACCCGTGCTACTTTCTGATATAACGGTCAAGCATAGATATTTTGGGACTGGAGTGATTATAGGACAGTAGGAATTCTGCACTATGACTAGCCACTAGCTTGTTGGGTTAGAACTAATCTGTGTTTTCTCAGATAGCTTCCCTCAATAGCTGACATATTAATTGTTCATAATATTTCCACAGAAGCTCACTTCAAAAGATCAGAACTTTCACTCTCAAAGCGGTGAAATTTGCCGCAGGGAATGTTTCTAAATGCTGACGAAGCGGCCTGGAAAACGTCAAATTCATTTCCATCTTTATTTATTTATTTATGCTTAGAACATTAAAGGATTTTAAACTTCAAACCTTTTTGAGATCATGATATCAAACGGATCAGTCAGAGTTATTTTGAAAAGGTGTGCCCAGATTTTATTTTATTTTTTTTTTTTTTGGGGGGGGCTTATTGCTTCACCTATTGAGGCCAAAATCACTAAAGGTCCTGTGAGGAAGTGGTATCTGCAGACACGTAGAAACTGTGAGGGGTGGATTTTAAATGCAGCAAATCAAGCATACTAATTGTGAGAAAATCTGTCATCATTGTGATTGACAAAGACTGATTGGTCTGCCAATGTAGGTTAACGCTCTCCAGACCATTACACTGATATAATGGAGCCATATTGGAATATCCAAAGTTTAAAGAAAAAGATGGTCGGATTGACAGTTTAATGAGCGGTGAAATTTGAAATTGCCTTCTCTTTCTTCTGTTTTTCAGGTTTTAGAGGACATGTAAAGATATCTCGGAGGAGTTCAACTTTTTTTTCTGAAAGCAAATATGTTTTAAAAAAAACAGCAACAACACGTAAGGGATTTTGGAGACATATCAACATTTACACGTGAAGATGTAGGTTAGGGGAGACAAAGGAGATGTGAAGAACTGGAGGAGGTGCTACAACGGGGGACGTATACCGGTAACAGATGGCACGGCGCGAGAACGACGAGGAGAAAGAACACGGGGAGAGATGCGACGAGACCGAACAACAGAACTTTTTTTCTTGTTAAGACTTGAATTGTTAAGTAAGCAACAAACTAACAAACAAAAAAGCAGCAACAGTGAATAGATTTCTATATACATATTATATACACACATATATATTTAAGGAAAGAGGCGCTTGTGGCTTTTACTGGACAAATGAGGGTTAAAACTTGAAGATAAAACAACAGTGGAGGAAAGAAGCGATTCTGTGCATCCACTGACAGACTTTCTTTCTCTTTCCCTCTTTCTCTTACTCTCTCACCGTCTCTCAGCAAGCGCAGAACTATGACTCTTGGAGGTCACAGGTTTCCATTAGCAACGGTAGAACTGCAACTCTTTCACCCCAACGGGACCAAAGGACCAAACATTTTTATTCTTCTGAACAGTAATATATATAGTATTAATGATACTAATACTGCAAACTACTACTAATAATATTACAAGTAAAACTTAAGAAGGAATACTAGCTTCAGGTTGAAAAAAAAAACAGCAAGGGTTTTTTGAATTCTTTTCCTTTTACCTTTATAGCTACTGGGTTTGAGAATATTAAATTGAAGCAGAAAATGTATAAAAAAAGAATAAAGCTGTAACGTTTTAGCAGCGTAGAGGAAAAAAAAACAGCGATGAGATAGATGTTGTTTCGGGCATGTTCAGATATGTAATTTCTGCCACTTCATCCCAGAATTTCATCTCGGAAGTGTGATCTGTGTGTGGTATTGCGTCATGAGGAGAAGAAAAGGGTCCTGCAGTGCCAAAAGAGACACAATAGCACCTTTGAAAAGTAAAAATAAACACATACATGAGTGCTGCTCTTCCATATTTGATCACCAATGCAAATGATTTCCCGCCCTATTATTATAAAATGATGGCGTCCTCCCCCCCCACTGCCAGGACCCCCACCCCACCCTTCTAGTTTTACCTCCAAGTGCCAGCATCTCTCTCTTTTAACAGTGACCATCAGCTGATGAGGGGCCCCAAAGCTAAACATAATTACGATAATGATAGTATTGATCAAATGGAAAGCAGCACCACGGGGAAACAGATGCACGATCAATCCCACATTGGCATTTCGATTGGATTGACTGAGTGACAGACTTAATCGTTCTCTTTCGCTGGTTTGACAGGAGCCCTTTTTTTCTGGATCACGTAAATCTGACAGCAGAGCAGCTGAGCGTCCTCTTTAAAGGCACTTAAAACGTCTGAAGCTGCAACAAGGTCTGTATATAGAGTATTAGAGTAGATAGTCCAAGTTCTTCAGTGAAGAGCAGCTGTATTTTTTATTATTTTTCTGAAGGGCATAATAGCACACTGAGAGCTTATGAGCAGCAAGAGGCAGCTTGGCATTAGTGGCATTAGGAGGTCAAATTAGGGGCAAAATTATCCATCAGGCAGCCGGCCTGCAAGTGTGGCTTCAGTAGGGCAACTTACTGTACGCAGTGGTCACACGTGCTGCAAAAAAACCAGGATTAGTTAACAGATGTGGAGAGGTTTTCTGCTCCGAGATGCACATTCAGAACATCCGAGATGAAATCTTGCTCACGACTTGCTTGTTTTCTACTGATTCACCTTATTTTGGCACTTCGTTGGGTTTTTATTTGATGTATATTTCTATTTCAAAATGCCATCCGTTGAATTTGTCAGGACCCAGGACTCATTGAGACTTTAGACACGTCAGTGCTTCAGATGCATGTCGCACACACTGAACCAGAGTTTAGAGGAAAAAGAAACAACATGATGCCTTTGTGGTTTGGTGCAACACATGTTTCCTCATGATCCTGACGACTGGAACCCTGCTTTTGATTTTACTTTGGCTCAGCTGCTGGTTTTACTCAAGTGGCTACTGGTTCACCAGATCAGTATTTGAAAGAACTGGGCAGAAACCTCAGCACACTCCAGGTCTCAGTGTTATTCACTGTTTGTTACTCTGTAAACGCAGTATTTCGAGGTTTTAGAAAGACGTTTATAGGTATGCCTTTTCTCATCAAGAATTGCCAAATTATGCAATCATATCCACTGCAGTTCCTCATCAAACTTTAAACATGTGCCAGATTTTCTTAAAAATGTAGTCTGCTAACTATGCTAATTTTCAGGATTTGTTTAGCAGAATGAAAGCTTTGCTTTTGTGATGCAGCGTAACACTGTAGGAAAAAAAGCTTGAGCTGTAATAATATACAGTATAGATTTTCAGTGAAAAGGTTAGGTTTCTTATATATTTGCCAGGAGACAGCTTCTTTCCCTGGGCGAGTAAATGAGAGTTTCCCTGCTGCTGTCAGGGCGCAGCAGCTTCAGGAAGCTGTGATATATGCCCTCCTTCCTCCGGGCCGTACAGGGCCTTATAAACCCTGTCAAAGTATCTGATGGGGTTTCTACTAGAAAAAGGATTTTATTTAATAATTAAGATTAAATTACATTTATCTGTCACAACAGCTTTGAATTAAGGATTACAGCTGAAATAAAAATGAGTTTGATCAATGTTAGAAAGGACAGTTCAGATCTTTTGATGTGGGGTTCAGCACAGGGGTAATGAACAATTAACATCTTACCTGTTCTAGATAAAACTTAGTTGGTCCGCTTGAGAGGATCTCCAAAAAAGTCAAAGAAAATGTAAACATCATTCTAAAATAAAAATAAAAGTATTTTACTGATTTTCAGAACATTGTAAAACATAACATTCATTCATTCATTTATTTATGCAACGCCTCCCCCGGTCAAGGTAGCCCAAAGCGCTGAACACCACAGTGTAAAACAACGAGCATCAAAATAGAGAATGATACATCCGAATAGTAAAAATCAAAAAGTGCTTCACAGGAGCTCGTGTTGAGTACCAAAGCAACGGACACCTAATAAAAGCTTAATACAGGCAAACACTGCATTTATATAAAAGCTAAAACCAAGAAAGGGCCAGTTGACAGAGTGTCAGTGAAAACAATCAGACCAGAAGCCTAAAGGTTGGTTCATGCTTGACGCGTCCGCGAGGTCCGCACGGCGAAATTGCGTCATTTTAACACGGCCCAAAATTTCCGCAATGCGCACCTAGGAATATTTCTAACCACACGGACGGTCGGACGCGGAAAAACATGGCGGACCGGCAAGAACTAGTATGGCAGAGGTTCATAAATACAGACATTTGTATGATTCAGTTCTCAGAGATCACCGTGATCAACATGTTGTTAATAATTCTTGGAGAGAAATAGCTCGCACTGTCGGAAAAGACGAGGACGCTGTTAAAAATGCTGGAATGCCATGTTGTAAACAGTCATTTCTACTTCTACTATGGTGTAGTGTTGGATGCGTGCCGTAGAGCTCCATGCTGCCCCCTACAGTTTGGGAGAATATTGGCTCACCGCAGAGACGAGCCGCATGAACCATAAACGCTGCGAGTTGTGAAGCGTGTTCCAGCCGCGAGCCGCATCACCAAGCGGAAAGTGAATGTGTCAAGCATTAACCAAGCTTAACGGGCTGTTGTGAGTCTGTAGTGTAGCACAGTTGTTTGATTGGTGTCCCCGCCCCCGGCTGGCTTTGAGAAGCTGTTAGCGTATCAATTTAGTCTGAGCTAATGTGTTTATTCACAGGTATGTGCAAAGACAATATTGTTCATAACCGTTGTACAAGAACCCACTTCAGAGGGGCTGAACTACCACTTAAGGTAATAATAATAATAATAATAATAATAATAATAATAATAGTAATAATAATAATAATAACACATTTTGGCCACATAAAACCATAGATGGATGTAAGGTTCAGAAAGAGGAGGTTGAATTTGTTAAACATCTTGAATGGCATAAAAAGGGAACTGGCAGCACTATTTTCTGTATTATTCAAGTTGAGTTGCATGTGTTGGAGCTAAAATTTATCTTTTTTCATAGTTTTATCTCTCTTGCATCCATTTAAATCATTTCTTCTTTTAATCTTTATCATGTTACCATGGTGCCCTTTTAATCTCTGAGCATGCTCAACAGGGGGACCGAGAGGGCTGAAGATTATGAATCTGGTATTGCTCGTATTAACAATATGATTCTTTAACTGTTGTTTGAATGCTAAGGATAGTAGCTTATTATAAATATGAAATCTTGTATATTGTGAAAAAGCAGCACAGGACCTTTCTTTGTATAGGTTAGGGGTCTGAAATGGGAGGGGAGGGCGGAGGGTCTCGCTTTATAAAGATGTTAACTTTCTGGTTTCTCAGCACAAAAGCATACAAAAGGGGATAGGAGCAGCAGTATTGTGTCTCTGCTGAAATACAGGGCGCAAAAAGAGGAATCTCAGAACTAATCTTTAATTAAACTTGGAGGAGAAAAAGCTGTTTACAGGTAAAACTCTTACTTTTTCCTTGGTCTTCTTTTCTTTTTCATTTATTTTTTCTTTTCGAAGACAATGTCACCTTTTTTTGTGGCAGTGTCAGTACAGCATGGAGTAACAGATGGGGGGGAAGCTGTATCTTTTTTATACATAACAACAGTTATGGTCATAATAATAATAGTACTGATGCTGATGATGATGATGACAAAATTAAAAAGACATTTCTGTATTAACCTTAGAAACCCAACTTTTTCCCCCGTTGACATTTCTTAATAGTTGCTGCTTAGATAAACGCATCTTAATAACTGATTATTTGATAATTTTATAGATAATGTATATTTATTTATTTATTTATTTATTTATTTATTCATTCATTTATTTATTTATTTATTTATAATTAGAATTTTTTGTTCCGATTATGGTAAGATGAAGAAATGTGTCAAAAAGAAAACTGGTTCTTGGGACTTTTCTCTTGTTCTCTCCTTTTTTTCCAATTTTGCAATAAAAATTCAAACTGGACGATTCGTGTTTCTCATCGTTGTGTCACACGAAGGGTGCCGAACCCTGGTGCAAAGAGAGGGGGGGTGTCGTCGCACAACGAATCACTGCAACACCCTGAGAGTTTCCCGGGACTCGGATGCTGCAGCCTTTTTCAGCTGGCCTTTGTCATGTTTGTGTTTTTGCCCTTTTGCATTCTTGTTATGCTTTATTTTTAGGCTGTTTTGGATGGAAATATAAAACATGAAGCCCAGTGTTCTGCAGCTCTATCTCTCTCAGGACGTACGTCAGCTGTGGAAGGCTTTTTAAAAATGATTTAGTGGTGAAAAGCAGCCATTTAATTCTCGTGGAAATGAAATTAGTTAGCAAACAAGGATTTATTTTTATTTTTTATCTTTGAATAAAGATTTAAGGTTTTACTGGAAAGTGCTGATTCTAATCTGCTGCTGGGAAAGTAAGCTTAGGAGCATTTATGGCAGCAACAGGATACAAAAATCCCCAGAAAATGTCACAAATAGTGGGTGTTTCTTAATGTCAAAGCGCCTGGCCTTGTGAGGCGATGTCTTGCGAGGCCAGGCGCCTTTCTTACAAGGACACGGTCCTTCCTTGGTCAAAGAAAACGGTTAAATGGAACAGACTTGCATCATGTGACCGCGGCTTCCACAGCAGTCACGTAACGTCACGTGACACAGGAGATAACGTTACATTTTACACATGTAAGTTTCAATATAAATATAAAATGAGCCTTTTACTTTTTAAATTGTGTATATGTTTATTAAATTAAAAATATAAGCGAGTTACTACCCGCTAGCCACCGAAGCTGCAACTACTAAGCAACTAACCAACAACAGATAACTTCTTTGGATCTTAAAAAAAAAACATTTTAAATTAGCTGACTTACTCTTAAACTTGAAAATTGTCCTCGAAGTAGCTGCCGGTTTCTGATCCGCCGTCTTTTTGAAAATACTGTGGTGTATTGTGGGTAATTTTTGACCAAGGCTAGGCTACAAAATACTTCCCATGTGTCCTTGCTAAGCTAGCTAAACGGCTAACAAACGGAGAACACATGCCTCGGTAGAACAAGAACATTGGAAACGACTGGAACACGTCTTGGCGGCGCCTGATGACGACGTATCTCCTAGGTAACCGGGGCAGGGCCAAGACATCAAGGCAAGGTTCCTTAACATTGAGAAACACCTTCTGTGTGGTAAGAAGGGACATTAAGTAAGGTTCCCATGTTGAAAAGCAGGGTGTGATATGTTTATTTAGGGAGGACAGTAAGTATTTGTCAACTGCTGCTGCTGCCTGGATTTGACGCAGCATCTGTTGCGTCTCATGATCGTCATTGTGTTGCTTGAGGAGTAGCAAAAACAGTAGCAGCATGAGATTCATATTTTGAAGAGCAGCTTTAAATTGCAGGGTCCAAAAAAAAAAAGTAGAGCCACTGGCTCATGAAATAAATTGTCCCAATTACAAGTGTGGCTCTTGGTCAGTGTGAGCGGCAGGCAGTTCATCTTTATTACAATCAGTTAATGAAAATCAATCCCCCTCCTGATAAACTCTTATCTCCACGGCCTTTGCACACCCCCCGTGCCGGGAGATAATAAATTAGGGTAATATTGCCTTTGATGAGGGAGTGAATTGCAAATTATTGTAACTTTCCAAGATTTATGATGCAGATGCTCAATTTCCGAGCTGGGTTTTTCCAGGGCGCCGGGGTGCCATTTGTTAAAAGTTTGGTGACTCTGGCTCGTTAATAAAAATACACACTCAGACAAGCAGGTGTTACAGTAGCTGAGAAAAAGGGAAACTACAGTAACTCCTGAAGCCAGTGCAATCTGGAGGATGCCTTTCTCTCACACATGGCATTTCATCTAGAACGGAGAACACATGCGACATAGCACAGTCCCCTGAGATGAGATGTGTTTACTAAAGTAGCACTGTCAATCACACCAAGCCCACCCTCCGCCCCCACTCCGTCTCCATCTCTATCACATAAGCCAGGAGTGTATGATTTGATATGTAGGTCAATACGCATTCTGCAGTGAGCCGGTGGGTGAGATGTGTCTGGTTGCTCACTGTCACTCTGATTATTGAAGAGACACAGAAAGATTGAGTTGGTCAAGTATGAGAGAGCCTGCAGTAGGAGATAGCTGTATGATTACCTGCTGCAAACACACACACTAGTAGAAAGTTTCCTTAGGAATGAGGAACTTCTCACTCTTTGTTGCCCAGCAGTGACCCATGTAACAGGGTGCAATTTATGTGTGTGTGTGTGTGTTGGTCGCGTTCTGCTCGGTGCAAAAATCAGACAGAGAGTGCATCATTAACCAAAACACTTCAGCGGAAACAGCCGCGGAAGGTTGGGGGTTACGAGTCATCGGGAAGAGCTGGAATGATGCAAGGTGGATGATTTCAGGAGCAAACGCGGCCTCACAAGAGCAGATGAAGGAGTTTACAGCGACTGGTAACCGGCGCCTCATGCATCATTCAGCATCAATAAATCAAGAAAGTGTCTCAACTGCTACAGCGCACCTCATGTATGTTTTCTACAACATGCCACCTTTGGTTTCCATCCACTGGCTGTCGTTAAAGCTGCTTTCTTTCACCACAGACTCTCTTCTGAGTAGATCTTAAACACCTCATGCTCCAGACATTTGATTAGCCAGAGATTATCCAGGGAAACAAGAAACTCTTCCCATGAAGACCAGCTCATTTTTGTCCAAGGAACAATTTTCATTAAGACACCCATCAATCTACCTATTATCAATCATGGAGCAGACTCACACACCACTATCTATTTATCTTGCCAAGTGCTTTATTATTATCAAATTAATTTCCCCATTGAGATTATCAATCACTCAAGCACTTTTTCACCCTCTCAACTCATTAGCTTGGTAATTGTCCTTGTTTACGGGGGAAAGTCGAGACGGGACAGCTCAGAGTGGGTGGACAAGCAATCTTTGAAGGCTTCAGTAAGTTCTTGCAAACCTGCAGCAACGCCACATCCACTGGATTCCCTTTAAAAAGTTTTCCTGGAGTGGATGTTTGACTTAGGCCCTGTCCACACGTAGCCGGGGATCTGCCAAAACGTAGATATTTGTCTACGTTTTGGCCTGTCATCCACACGAAAACTGAGTTTTTTCACACGAAAACGGATCTTTTTAAAAACTCCGGCCAAAGTGAAGATCTGCGTTTTCTCCGTTTTGGGTGTCTGCGTGTGGACAGACAAAACCGGAGTTTTAAGGTCCACAACGTCACTTTCCGCGACAAAACAATGCTGACATCACGTGTGCGACCTGTGTTTACACTAGCCCAGGGGTGTCAAACTCATTTTAGCTCAGGGGCCACATTGAGGGAAATCTAGTCCCAAGTGGGCCGGACCGGTAAATTAATTAAATACTTTAGATTGTTTTCTTTGTTTTAATACAATCAATATAAAACGAGGCTGGAGCCTGAGGACAGAGTAGTACAAGTACAACACCTGAAGTGTACTTGAAAATTTGAAAAAAAAAATAAAAAAATAAATAAAAAAAAATTCCTTAGTGATTCAAAGAGCTTACAGATCACATGGCAAGATCAGTTTCATGCAGCACTTAAAGTATATTTGACTCATTTTACTTTACATCTTTTAGCTTTCACCAGCACATCAACATCAGAAGTCACATCCTGAGTGGCGGCCAACTTCAGGATGTGATTCAAGTTCTTGTGTGAGCCTTGAGCGCAGCTTTGCTTTATTTATACTCATTACAGAGGAAACTTGCTCACAAAGATACGTTTATTTTCACTCTACATTGTAAAGTATGAAAATAAAGTTTACACAACCATCTCGCGGGCCGGATTTAACCCGCTTGCGGGCCGGATCCGGCCCGCGGGCCGCACATTTGACACCCCTGCACTAGCCGGCATCATGGATGCCCTCAGAGCTGCGCTCGCTTTATCAGTTGTCCAAGCGCTTTCTGCTTGTTTGTTTTTGCAAGCGGAATTACTGCTCCTTGCGGAAGACCACAGACGAAGGACGAGGTTAAGAACGGGGGAAGTACTGCCGCCTACAGGTCTGGCATGTCCTTAACAACGTATTTATCCGGGTACGTGTGGACAGAGTTTTTTTTTTAAACGAGGTGGTGTGGATGCAAGTTTTTGGAGGGGCGGATATTCGTTGTTTAAAAAAAACGGCTACTTGTGGACTAGGCCTTAGTTTCCATTTCTGCATTTATTTTTTTCATCAAGATTTTTCACAAGCAGAACGAGCTATTTGAAACGTTCCCAAGTTGTTAGATAGCTCAACGCCTTTCATCAGACGAAGAAGCTGTCAGGTGGGTTTATTGTGCGAGCTGTTCCACCTGACAGTCCTGTCAGATGGCTGCAATCTCAACATGAGCCATGAAGGAGATTTGACGCTTTTTACGTTTGTTTTAAAGCCAATGAGGATGAAAGTTACTTAACTCGCATCATTACAGTCAAGATTTGGAGAAGCTGAAATTAAAAATGCTGCTAAACTGATGTGTTTGGATTAGTCTGTCAGATGGGTGAGTGTTTGCAACAAAAAGTTCAGTAAAACAAAAAAATAATTGTGACAGGAAAGAGACATACTGAAGATCCTGTATGAGTCAAAACACAAAGTGAAGCAGTAGGGAGATGTTGTCTTGATTTCCTGCCAATGGAGCACCATGACATTTTACAATCAGCGTGTCAGTCTTTAAGCAGCTTTTAACTATTTAAAATGCTATTTTAGAGATATCATATAACATAAAACTGCAGAGAGAACCATAGGGATGGCTCTTCCATTTATGGACTCATTGCACAACTACCTCTGCCCAGGTCACACCATCTTCAGACACAGTCTATGTACAGTCTGCAATGCAGGAGAGCCAACAGCAGGATCTCACACACAGCCTGCATCTTTAACAGCTTCTAACCAGTGGCAGCAACACAATAGAGAACATCCTGATACTCAGAATCTATCCAGTGATATACAACAGTCTAAGCACAATACCATACCTGTCTTCTATGACCAGTCTGCCTCATTACCATACATGCTCAGTTCAAGTGCATTACATGTGTTTTTACTATTGATTGTTAGCCTGGCAAGCCAGACTAAATAAATGTATTATTTAGTCTGGCAACGCTCCATTGACGGCTCTCGGTTGTGGGGCGGGTTCTACCGTTGTCTTTAAAATGATCTCCGCATGCTACTGGACAATGAATGTGACATACTCTTGTTTCACTCTGTTGCATCATCCCACCCACCAGGCATATAGAGTGCCCTGATTGGCCCACCATTATGGACCAATCACAGCTCTTTATGTGTTTGAAACCCCTCTAGAGAGCTGTGATTGGCTAGCCAGAGTCCTGGTAGGAGCTGCGGAGGTTCCAATGGAGCATGCCTAGACCAAACTTTGCAAAGCAAGAATTTGGTCTAGTTCACTAGGCTAATTGATTGTGGCAATACTTTAACATTTTGATTGTGTTTATTCTGGTGAGGTTCCTCAGTCATCCAGGTCATGATTATCCAAAAGGGCTCCGCGTATCAAGCGTTCAGGTATGAACTGTAGCTGTCTATTGTTATTTAACGAGTAGAAGGGGTAGGAAGGAGGGGTACCCAGATTAGTGTCTGCTCATTAAATAACAACAGACAGTTAAAGCTTATAAGCTCGACTCTCCCATATTACAGTCAGAATTGACACAGCTCCTGGGATGAGAAGCGAAACATCTTCAAGAAACCAAAGCAGTCCAGTTGCCTTCATTTGAACCCTTTTTGATTGTGTTTGTTAATTTTTCCTCTTATTTGATTGCATCTTCCTTTTTTGTCTTTTTCATCTCATCTAATCTTAGATGGTGGAAATATTATATCCGAAGATGTCGGATGAGATCTCTTGCATGGGTGTCAGAATAAGTTGTAAAATCAATTACAAATCTGTACTGTCTCAAGTCTTTGACAGTGATGTTGATAGGTCACTACACATTTCATCCATCCATCCATCCACCTCCTCTGCTCCAGGTGTTCCTGGACACCGAGACAACAAATCCTGGGTCATCTCCGAGGCCTCCAGCTGGTAGGATGTGTCTGAAACACCTCAATGAAAGCCATCCTGGGGTCCTCCTCAGCTGATGCCCAAATTACCTCGATGGCCTTATGATGGGGAGGAGCAGTGACTCCACCCTAAGCTCCTCATCCTACCTGAGGAGGAGTCCAGCCACTCTGAAGAGTTCCACTGCTTCTAGTCATGATCTCATTCTCTTAGTCCTCACCCACCACTGATGACTGGAGATACCTTTCATCTCAGCTCTTTATATTCACGACATATGGGTACAGCATCCATGCTCTGCCCCGATCCTCCTGCAGACCTTCTGCTGAAGTTCACCCTGCCTCATGAACGTGACCTCAAGATCAACTCCTCCTCCAGGGGTAGTGACTCGTTCCAAACTCGAAGCTGGAAATTCACCGTTTTCTGCTTGGCTTCAGATTTGAAAGTGCTGATCTCAAACCGTTCCCGTACCTGCTGGAGGTCCTGGCTCAACAAGGCCCACAGAGAACAGCGACTAAAAATCATCCAAGGTTTCTGAATGAGCGAGCATGTCTGATAAACCTATAAGTATGAATACGTGTAATAATGCACAGTTTGGTTTAACGTAACCATACATGTGAAGCGTTTGAGCCTAATTACAGTCATGCAGTAAATGTATTTAATCTCTCAACTAGATCCCCGAGACGAGACCTTTCCTCTCCTCTTCCTCCATGGCCTCGCTCTCTTTCAGTCTTCCTCTCGCTCCCTTCTCATGAAACGACAGTCACCCAGGAGAGACCTTATTTAGGCCATCTGGAATGAGCTTCACGTGCGAGCGAGTAAAAAGTGACGCCTTTCATCGGCCATCTCCCCACGATCCGGCGGCTCTCCCGTCACGTTGCCTTAATTCAAACGGGACCAGGAGGCAAGGGCGTCAGTTTGTTTTCAGAATTGCTGGGGACAATAACCATACACTTGAGTGGGGTTTAAAAATTGCTGGGGACAATAAAGTAGGCTAGCACAGGGGTCGGCACCCCGCGGCTCTGTAGCCGCATGCGGCTCTTCCATCCATCTGATGCGGCTCTCTGTGCTTATAAAATAATGAATGGATATTTAAATAAAATGCTTTATATTTTACTGCATTAATTTTACATCTGTATGCCAATTCTAAATGTAAAGATTGTCTGCGTAAACCTGAACAGGTCCAACCCGGTCTTACTGTGAGACCGGGTTGGCGCGTCACGCTTGTGCGTAATCATATAGGCGCATTCTGAGCTGAAGAGGATGTCAGATTCTGGGATTCTCCTCAGACGGCTCCTGGATGTGTCGCCACATTGGAGACAGGAACAAGCGCTATTCAGCCAAAGTTTCATAATCAGGGAACATTTTCTAAGTGACAAGTCTCTCTGAGAGACAGGGTTTGGAAAACACTGGCTTCAGTGGGAGGAACCTTCCCGCATGCGCTCTGGTTCTCTGGGGTTAGTTTTATTGTTTCTCTTTGCAACAATCTTCACAGGAAGGCAAAACAGTTAAACGGCAGGTTACATATATTTCCATTCGACTGTTTATTTTGACAGATGAACTCAAGGATGTTGCTTGGTTTGAAAGAATTACCCCGACGCACACTGATGCGCATGGATGAGCTGACATTTTAATCGTTAATGCACATCGCGGAGGTAAAATATTCCCATCAGAACATCAGAGCTTTATACTGGACATGTGTTCAGCGCGGCTCGGAGCGCCCACGGTGGACAGTGAGCTGAAGATCTGGGGTTCGCAGCGCAGTGCAGAACCACATGCGACAAGATTTCCTCCCACTGAAGCGGTCTGGAAACCCTGTCTCTCTGAGGGATGTGTCACTTGGAAAAATGTTCTTTTTATGAAATTATGAAACTTTGGCTGAACAGCGCTTGTTTCCGTCTCTAATATGGAGACGCATGACGCGTAGAGACATTTGATTATGCACAAAGTTTATGTGGAGCAGAAGCGGTCGGGCCACGGCAGGTGAAACGTTCCTAGCCTACATGAAGTGGAACTGTTTAATTGTAACATTAATATGTTACACGCTGGTCTGGTTGGTTAGACCAGTGTTTGAAGTGGAAAACAAACAAACAAACACACACACACACACACACACACACACACACACACACACATACACACACACACACACCAATTAAAATAATGCTGATAGCGTGGACTAGAAGCCAGGTGATGGTTTACGTATTTAAATGATGATCAGGCTGCTGTAAAATGTAATCTCCATCCACACCCAGACACAATTATCCTCTATTCTTTCTCTATTTGCTCTGCTCTTGTCTGGGCCGATCAGCTGATGGTGCGCGCGACGCGCCTAACTAGCGGCTGAAGCACATTTTACGCATTTGGAGAGGTGGGCTGGATGCTTTGCGTTTACTGGAAGATGGTCCACTTAACGCACGGGTGTAGACTACATATTAATGACAAATGAATGTAAATTAAATTGTGAGTTTTTACTTCATATTTTATAAATAAAAATGACGGGGGAACACATTTATGACGTCTTTTTAAACTAAATTTTCTAGCGCGACCAAAATTACTGTGGGAAACGGGTAATAATGGCTCTTTGATGGGAACAGGTTGCCGACCCCTATAAGATCTGAGCTGGTAAAACAAAAATCCTCATCTGCAGGCGTTTTTGAAAGTGGGGGAGACACAGCTGCCAATCACAAATTTTGCCGGGGACATGTCCCCAGCGTCCCCGGTTAAAATGACGCCTATGCCAGGAGGTTATCGAGTACGCCTGCGCGTGTGATGAAACATGTTGTCAATCAAGAGAATAATCAGAATCAAGTTACCTTTAACTCAATCCAAGACATAAATTACATCCACGTCTTGCTGGTTATGGCGCATTAATTCTTAATGTCTTCATAGGGAGTGTGTGCCTAGGCTTTCTTAATTGCATTTTTAATGGAAATTAAAACTGATCACGGCTCTCGCTCTCTCTCTCTCGCTCCCCAATAACAGGACTCGTTCGTTCACACACAGCTTAAATCTCATCACGGTGATCCCACAGTTGACTCCAACCTGGTGTTAACCACAGACCAAATCCTGTTTGGAGCCATGCAGAGCTCTGGCAGACAAAAGCAAAGCCAGCAGCCAGCTCAGCACTCAAAGTAACATTCACACAGGGGACTGAGAACATACTGTGGAACCCTACAGCTACACACAGCCAGCTTGTCAAAACGGTCGCCATGCTACAAGCTGTCAAGTCTTATGGACTGAGGACACCAGCAGGACACCAGCAGAACTGCAGAGCTGGAAACTGGGGTCCTACTGGGAAACTAAGCTGCTTTCTGCTCCTAAAGATACCAAGAAGAGGAGGAAAAGTTCTAGTATGGAGTGAGAACGCTTTAATACAGAAAATTAAAAATACAGCACAAACATATTAGTTGACTTTTTCTTACAATGACTCAAAAATAACCTACTGAACACGACAAATGTAAAACATATTAGTTAAAACATCTATACAGGCAAATGTACACAGTATAAAACACATATATACACTCTTAATATATTATTATATAAAGTTTTTGTGTGTGTGTGTGTGTGTGTAAAACTGGAAGCCAGACAGCTTGAAGAGGGAGTGTTGCACAGAACAATGACCACTGACATGTTTCAGGTTAGGTAGTTTTTACATACAGTTGTTGGATCCTGCGTTTTTTGGATGCCAATTTTGGAAACCACAAACAAAAGAGATAAAAGATATACACACACAATTGGTATGAAACTGTTAAGTGCTAATGATATTATGGGATTAGAAAGGATCTAGAAGTCATAGCTTTCCTTTAAAAATGCTTGTCGTATGGTATAATTGTTATTGTACCTCTTTCAGCAGAGTGTTTATCTGCTTTGCACGTTCTCTGTTTAATACTATTTACAAGCATTCCTGGAGGTCAGTTCAGACAAATTTGGGTTTCTGAGAAACTATAATAAAATTAATTTCACATATTAGATTCTTTTTTTCTCTCCAAATGATGTAAAGCAAGCGCAATTCAATAGAAAACAGGTTAACCATGACTTTTACATGTTTGTAAACAACATCCTTCAAATGAGGAAAAACAGATGAGATCCTCATGATATCATCCTCACTTCAACCTAGGGGGAAAGTATATAAAGTGATTGTCACTCTTTCCTCAAGCTGGTAATGCTTCCACGTCTCATGTCCGGTGTTCCTCTGGTTTTTGTTTGTTTGTTTGTTTGTTTACAACAGCAGCAAAATGAGGAGAGAGAGCAGACAGCCGTTAGCTGCTGTTGCAGCCAGCATCTGCGTTTCTCCTCGGCCACTAACACGAGGAGTCCTTGGGGAATTCTGTTTCAGTTTACTGGGTGGCAGTGCCTTCAAATCCTCCAGGGCGCCGTACGCCGCCATAGAGAACTCCGGGTCTCCTGTAGTAAGCAAGTCAAACACACACGACTGAAAGTACAAGTCTTCCACCTGCAGAGTCTCTCTACACTTGGCGGTGGCCCTCTCCAGCGTGTAGATCTGGTGAGGAGGCCGCAGAGGCCCCAGCTCTGTGCTCGCGCCGTGCAGGTGTGGCTGCTGGCCCTGACGGCTCACCATGTGCTCTTTGATGAGCTCGTTACGCGGGCAGCCATGTAGGCACAGCTGGAGTCCACCGCTGTCCTCAGAAAGGTCCAGCGTGTCCTCTGGCATGCGGATAGCAAAGGTCAGGTAGCTGCCCACGCGCCTGATGATAATGGAGGTTCCAATGTAACGGGCCTGTATCTTCACCTGCCGACCCACTCCGGGACCCCCGCGCTCGAAGATGGCCAGGCTGCCGCTCTCGCCGCCACTACGAGTCCCATCCTGAAAGGCCAGGGGCAGGTCCTCAGTGGTGGCCTGGTACACCTTCTGCTCTGTACAACCATGATAGGCCTTGAAGATCACAGTGATCTGAAACGAGACAGGAGGAAAGGAACTATGATAAGTCGTAAGAGGATTTTTAAAATGGTAATACACCTAAACACCACAAGGTGGCAGCAGATAACTGAAGAACTGCACAAGTCTGTGCCGATTAATGTTTGTAGTTCTACAAACTGTAAACGGCAGTGCTTCTCACTCTGGTTTAATGTAAACAAAATCCACCTGAGCCACTCTGCATGATAAAAATAAAAAACAACAACAATAAAATCTCAAATCTGCTGGCATTTTCCTCGTGGCTGCATTCAAAATGCATTTCAGGAAAACCTCCAAATATTTTACAACTTTGTTAAAAACATGATAGGCCATCATGTGTTACTCCAGATGCATCAGTACTATAGATTATAACTGGACTGCACAGCCAGGGCCCACCGTTCTGAAGCTCCTAGCGACGTACGACCACCCTAGAATATGTAGATTTACTTGTCATTTATTCTCATGCAGACAAATTCAAATATTTGTTTGGGAATGTAACAATTTCCAGGTAAAAGAAAATGTACTTCTTTATTCTTAAAGCATCAAAATAAGCCTATTAAAGAGCAAGTCACCCCTTACAAGTAGCGTACTTCACTCCCACTTCATGTTTGAAAAAATGCAACAAATGCTGTTGCCTAGCAGACCGAGAGGGTGGAGCCACTAACAAATACACACACTCACAACATTGTGACATCATAATGTACCAGTTTACATCATAGCATACCTCTTAGCCAATAGCGGTGGCAGATTTAAATTCAAATGCAGTGAAGAGTTTTTACCTGACAACGGCACAACACTGACAGTTTCAGGCAGAAAATTTAAATTTTAACTAAAATGCACTAAAGTGCAAAACTATTGACTACACGTGTCTGCAGCACGATTAGACACGCATTTATATAGTTTATCAGAAAAAAATTGTTGATTTGGGGGTGACTTGCTCTTTAAGAAAGCAGGCAGATTAGCCCGGTTATTAAAAACAACTCATCCTTTTACTAAACCTTCAGCATAAACTATTTTATTATTTCAACAGAAAAAAGAGAGGAAAAAAAACCCTGACCTAAAAAACGAACTTGTCTAATGAACTAAACTCTGAAGGAAAAAAATAAAAAATCACATGCTGCTGGCCAGTTCTTCCCTTTATTTTTCCAAATTATTCTATATTTACACAAAAAGCTGAGAGTTAATTATTTGACCAGAGGGGTGAAAAAACATTCCACATCGTGGCGGTGGGGGAAAATGTTTGAGCGAGCGTTAATCACTACCATATGACCACCCATGTGTTAAAGGTAGAGCAATCATGCATGTCTGCGATCCAACACCAGTGAAGGACTCCCCCCACACCCCCACAGATCAGAGGGAGCTCTAAGACATGAGGAATGCCGGAGACGAGAGGCTCCATAGAACTACGGTTAACTTCCCATGTTTGATACTTTCTGGCACTAATGGCGGTGTTTGAGCTAGCCAGCTAGCAGTCAGAGCGTCTGTAGAACGTTGTGGCTCGTTCTTAAAGAGGTATTCACCTGTAACACATTTAAGCCAATTAATCCCTTTTTAGATCTATTCAAATACGATCCCAAATACTGGGTAAGATATAAATATATGTAATCCAAGCATAAACACTTTGTATCCCAAACCCATCCTCACCTTGCTGGTTGCTGTTGCGCTGGAGCCAAGAACAACAGGAACGTTGGTCACCTGCACGGACAGGAAGCGGTTATCAATCAGAGGCCACGCCCCCTCCACCTTACAGGTCTGAAACTCATCACGAAAAGTCCGTAGGTGCGGGTCCCCGAATAATCCACAATGGGCGTACTTCTTCTGATGACCAGCCGAGCCCAACGCGAGGACGCGACTCTCGTAGTCGCAGAGCTCCAACGCGGCTGGCCGGGGTGTGCTGGAGGCCTTGGCGGAGGTGGGCCCATCGCTGGAGCAGTTGTGCTGCGAGAATAATTCCTTAATACGGAAATCGGCTGAGTGGTAAACTAGGTCGCCCCTGCAGCTGCGCGCCTGCCGCCTGGTGCACAGGGCGTAGGCCCGCAGGGCCGTGCAGTAGTCCACATCCAGAGCCGCGTCCTCCTGGAGACCACTAGCAGGTGAGGTAGACGCCACGTACTCTGCGTTGCAGCGCTGGATTCGACACTGCTGGCAGTGAGCTGAAAAGCAAAAAACAACACCATTTTATTAACCTTGGCCATTTTCCACAAGCTTCTCATAAAACATGCCACATGAGCATCCATGTGATACCCACCGATACAATAACTCAGCTGAAACGGAAACTTTTCCACTATCAGGTTTAGCTGAATCAGGAGAACCGTTAAACCCTAAATGTGCTCTCTGGGCTCACACTGGGCTCCGAAAGTCAGTCAAGTCAAATCTCAGAAATGGCTTCACTGCAAAGGAAACCCAGCCGGCACCAGTGTGCCTGAGGGTGTTGATATGGACTGACCATCTGTGAAGCAACTGAAAATGATTAAACTCTGCTACACTGCAAGGCTCAAGAATCTGGTCTTATTTACTTCAGGATGATCACAAGGAAAACCTCACTAAGTGAAAACTGGACACACGGAAGGCAATCAGTGTTTGATATTTATGGGTTTAACCCAAATACTGTGCTTCAGTTTAAGTAGTGGCTCATCCCGGAGTTATTTCTCACCAAACACACAAAGATAACCTGCTTTAGTGACATGAAAACTTTACAGATTCATTGTTATTTCTTTCTTACGGATACTTCTGAAGACTGAGTCTGTCACTCACTGGGATGATGGATTTCACTCTGAGGTGAAGACTTATTTTTTTTAGATCACAGCAACACCTGCATCATTTTTCATGCTAAACTGGAAGCAGCTGCAACAAAATAATCTTGTGTTTACTCCAGAGCATCATCTAACCCTCAACAGTTCAGGCAAAATAAACAAGAGTTCACACGCGTGTAAATGGACACTTCTGCTTTTTTGTCTCCTCACACCCACGCTGGTGGCACTGGCCGAGTAGGAAAGATGGTTAATGCATGCACAAGCTTGGATCGTTGAAAATTAAATGAGGTCAAAATGCTGTGTGTGTGTGTGTGTGTGTGTGTCTCCCTGAAGACTCTTCATGCACTAGCACTTAAAGAGTCAACAAGTGTGAACAGTGAGAGAAAACAAAGTAGAAAAAGACCACATAAACAGCATCAACACTCAGAGATTAGTGATTGTTGGATCTGAGGCAGACTTTTGTTCACAGGATCAAAGGCTTGACACCGCATATGAGAATGCATGTCCCCATCTGACCTTCTACACACATTTTAGCACACTAACATCATACAAATACTAGCTTTATATCAACGTTCCTTCCATTTCTCTCCAATCTGAACTCTACTTCACTGTCTATACACAATTATGAATACAGTTCTTCAGTAAGGCTAAGCATACAGCTGGTGTTTTCCTCTGTTTTCAGTTGCTGGTCTTATCATATAAACAGTTATCAACACCATAAAGTAATCTCCTGATGGTGATCATCCCAGAAGAGTTTATCAGCAAATCACAGCTCCTTTTCTCTGGCAGAGCAAATGCATCACTGGAGCTGAAGTCAGCTCAAGAGGAAGACTACATTGGACAAAAAAAAAAAAAAAGACTGAAACAGTGTAACAAATTGAAAAAACTAAACTTAGAGAGGGTTGATTTGACTATATTTAAATATACCCTATATTATTTTATAAATCTAAAGCAGAAGTGCTGGCTGCACATTTCAACCACTAGAAAACCAAGTCAGGAGCAAAGCAACCCCCCCCCCCCCCCCCCCCCAATTATGAGAAACCAATTCTTATTTTGAATCTTATTTAGATAAAAAGGTTTTCTATTTCAAACAGAAGAGGAAAAAGGGCACCAGCTATTAGCCGAATCCTCCAAAATATACCAACTCAAATCCAACTCTATTTGAGTTAAAGTTACAGGACTGACATAATGCCAATTTGTTTTTACGTGTTAACTAAACAATCCATGACAGCTTTACTACTTTCTTTTTAAAATCACGCAATATTTAATCAACATGTTGACATTCCCTGTATGTGTGGACATAATGATGCAACTTCAATTGTTTTTTCAATTAATTCTCAAAAGCTAGTCCACCATATATCTGAATATTTAAAAAAACTGCTCGTCAATTACCACAAATAACTTTTAAATAATGTCATTCAAAAACGTTAAGGTAAGCAGCATCCCGTGCTGATGGAGGAGCGAACAGCACGCTCAAAGGCCAAAGAGTCGACCCCTAATGCATGGTGGCTAGCAGAGTTAATAAGAGCATCAAATACCGAGGTCCGCTTATCCTACACAACACCTACAGCTGTGAAAACTGTAAGGAAACGTCACAACATTTTAATGTAGGACACGAGACGGGTCAGCGGTATTTTAGTGTGTGTGTGTGTGTGTTTTTTTTTTGTTTGCTTTTTTTACACTTTTTTAAAACTCTGGTTTTCACCCCGGACTGCCTGCGCGAGCTGGACGCCTGTTGCTAGTCAGAGCTATGCTAGCTAGAAGCTAACCATAACTTCAGACTTTCCGGCAAAGAAAGATAACTCGTGCTCTCTATGGAGCGGGAGGTGATGCGTGACAAATGTTACATTATTAATTACACGTCGATTCATGTTGCCGTTTGGGGCAGGATTAAAGGATTATTGTAATCAAATGTCCGTAAAGTGCGTTAACTCGTGCTGCTCGGTTAGCGAGGCTGGTTATACACACAGTTACTTTGTCCTCGGAGGGGGCGAGGGACTTTCAAGCCACCTAGCCCCCACAATGACCAAACATTAAAGAAAAAATGTGCAACTAAAAGAGTTAAAGTCGCAGCAAGAACAGACAGAGAAGGACAATGTTAACTTTCTCCTTTCCAGGAGGGGAGAAGACCGCGGGGACACAGCTCTGCATGCAGGAGAGGAGTGGGGGGGAGCTCGGAGTGGAGGAAGAAAACATCAAGCTCCGCTTACCTGGTCGGACCGGCAGAGAAAGTAAAACCATGGTCAACGTTAAACAGTCCCAAAGCTGCCGCTTAGCCGTGATTTGAGGTCCGCTTCTCCCCATGCCAATCCATTCAGTTAGAATGGAGTTCCTCCACTGCTTCTCATCGACGCTGCGGCTGCGGGGAATCAGACCAGAATTCGTCTTCCTTCCCAAGCGCTGTCATTCAAAAGGGGCCCCTGCCCTGTCTTCAGGGGGGAGGGGTCTGAAGCGGAGACGGGGCCCCAGAGGTGGTGGCTGGCCAATCAAACTTTAATTATTCACCAACCTCTGATATTTTCATTTAGTGGTAATTACTGGAGATGAGGACAGTGGGAAAGTGGCTCCAGCAAGCTGAGAGCGATGTGCAAACCTACATTCACTCAGAGTTAAAGAATAAAAAACAATCGCTGAGTCTAGTGAAAAGTTACCCGTTTATAAGAGGGTTTTCTTCACATATCAGAGTTTGGTGCCATTTAAAGTTATAGCAGGAACACTTCCTCACATGGAGAGTTACAAACTTCTGCAGCAGTCTCAAATATCCCTTTGACTCCCCCTCCCCCCAAAAATCAAACGTGTGTGTGTGTGTGTGTGTGTCTTCAGCTTCAAGCAGGATTTTATCACCTGTTGTTTTCACACACCCGACTTAGTGTTAGAATAAATGCGCTTGACTGACAATTGTGAGTGCAAAATACCAAGCATAGCTTTTATTTATTTATTTATTTTGCAAATCTTTTAAAAATAGAAACAGATTGATTTAGAAGTTGAAACAGACTCTAATAAACGAGAAGTAAACAAAAGTGACTGGATCCAGAGAGAGGGCTGTATTTATTACATGGATTTCTCTCCATCAAACAAACAAGTTGTTGTTGCAGGTTTTTCTGTTTATGTCCCTTTGTCTCTTCCAAAACTCACTAAATATTCCCTACTCGGTGAATTTCTCTCACCAAATCTCAGTGCACCATTAAACTTTCCATTACTTGTGTGTTAGTCTTTTCTCATTGTGGCCAACTTTCCATCTCTCTCACTCCTTCGGCAGCACTCTGTCTTTCATTTGCACAGCTGCTGTGAGGCTGGACCATCTGCTAGGCGCTCACCAGATTTCTGCCTTTTTGCCTTCGACTTAGTGTGGGTTTATTTTATTTTGGTGTGCCATGCAAGTGAAGAATCTTAATGCACCGGGCGATCACATAAAATTCTGATTTTAAATGAATTGACAGTGAAACTTTGAGCATTTTATTTAACTAAAGCTCGGTTTGAGACTGGAGCTGGAACATTTGTGTTGCAGCTTTGGCCCTCGCTCTTGATTTTATGAGCGAGAAGTGAACCCAGACAGTTGCTGGATCACTTGTTTTTCTGCAGGCTCTTCCAGCCGAACAATTGTGTGATTCAGGTGGCCTGTCAGTCTTGTGAAAGGCTGTTGTTGGTGTGGGGCCTGATGTGATGTCAAAAGATTCGGACACTACATAGGGGTGAAATGAAAATGGATTGTTATGCGAGCTGTCTCTGTCACACCAGACTCGATGTGCTTAGTTTATCACCCTTGAGGGATCACCCTTCCTCTGATTGTGCGGCTACATTTGGATAACAGCTTCCATAGTGAACATCTTAGGTGTGTTCTTGCTGTGTCGTGGTTCTAATTCCATGCTTTGGTTCTTTTTAAAACACAGAAACAGTTTTGTTTACCTGTTTTGTCACTACGTTTCGCTGGCAGCTGCAGGCTTCTTCAGGCTGACGCTGATGGTGGCGCGGAGAAGGAGAAGGAAGTGACGCGCCACCATCAGCGTCAGCCTGAAGCAGCGAAACGTAGCTACAAAACAGGTAAACAAAACTGTTTCTGTGTTTTAAAAAGAACCAAAGCATGGAATTAGCTTCCATAGTATTCTCTAAAACACAGACATGGGGCTGAATTTGATCAATATGTTGGTTCATAGCAGGACTTTCCTCACCTGTCACTATGTGTGTCTTCAAAAGCAAGATTGGTCATTTCCTGGGAAAAAAAGCACACTATTAATTATCTAATGGATTACTTTTCATAACAGTTAGTCAGAATGATTAAAAATGTGAGAGTCGCATGAAATAAAATCATCAAAGCCCCTGTTTTATTTGGTAAGTCGCTGTTTGCTAAGAGACCTGCAGCGCCGATGGCCACTCAGGCAAACAGGGAATTGATCCAGGTGGATGGGGAGGATGAATTCAGCACATGAAAGAAGCTCAGAGAACGCCTGTCAAGCTTGATGGGTGGAGAAAGAGCTCTTTCTTCTCTTCTTTCCTTATGAGTGGAGTGCATTGCACGGCTCTCCACGGATGTATATACTATTAAGACTAAAAAAGAGCAGGAAGAGTGGGTGGATGAGACAAATGTACGCAGGGCAAAAATCTCTCAGTTTGGAACTTTTTCCAGTGCAAAACAATTCCTTACATCTGGAGTTGAAAGGTTGGAACCTTCAGGAAGAAGCAGCGGATCGGTGTTTGAAGAAGGGGACAAAAACGGATGCTGTGTGGTCGATAAAAACAGGACTTGGAGCAAAGCAAAACGCGAGAACAGAAGGAAGAAAAAAAGGAATAAGGGGAAGGTGAAGGAAAAGAGGGAATGAGGGATTGGGTTTCCTCTGACAGTGTGTCTGGGCAGCTCCACATGTTCCTCATTAAGGTCCTCACACTGTGGGACCGGCTCCACACCAGGATGCTTGTTTTTGTTATTAGGCTCAGCTTGCTGTGGTCGAGTGGAAGCCCCAAAAACAAGACGGGTACTGAACCATCCCCACGACCCACTGTCCTCACATACATCAAACGCAATGATGCAAACCTAACGCCCACACACTTCTTCTCCTCTTCATTAATCAACCCTGAACTTTTTGCTCTCATTTGCTGTTTGCAAATCTTTAATAATGTCTTTTTTCTAATAAATTAGATGAAACACAAGAGTGATTTTTGTTGAATCCCGTGTCCATCTGGATTTGTCATCTCAGACATGTATCGTGTTTTTTCTGGAGACTGATAACATCAGAGATTGGAATCAGGATAACAGGCGCCCTCTGTGGCCCCCGCCAGCACCACGCGGATGCAATAAACGAGGCATGCGTATTGAATTTTACACCGGATCCTGGAGCAAATTGCTGTTTTTGTTTTGCTTTTTGTTTGTTTTGTTGTTTCTTTTATTCCCTCTCGTCTGAAACGAGGTGTCCCGTGGCCCAGCTGAGGCCCAGAGTGAGACTGGAGGTGCAGAAAGCGAGTGTGTCTGGTGCGGGCCATGCTGTCGGAGGGGGATCCGCTATCTCTGCAGAGATAAGGGAAACTGTGGTGTGAGTGTATATGAGGCGGAGCTGATAGCATCTCCTCTCAAGGATCCCACTTACGGGACCCTGATTGATAGCCGACAGCACAAACCAGGAGGCTTTCAGAGTGTTTTTGTAGGCACTTCTTCCCAAGTATCCACGCAGGCATCTGTTTGCTGTGCTGCTTTGGATCTTTTGTCTTTGAGTAAACAGGAATTATCACGTGTGCTTGAGTGTTGCTAATATCTGAGGATCTGCGCTGAAAAAAAAAGCAAAAGGGTCTTTTTTCTTAACTAATTAGAAGTTTATTATAATATATCCGTGAAAGCTTTACCACTAAGTCCCTTTATTCTTGGTCGTTTTTTCTTTTCTTCTCCTTTTGTCAGAGGACAAATGTTGACACAGCCTGCTCACGAACACACAGCCAGCTGACAGGTAACCCTAGCCCCGGGGCCACGGGGTCACCTCAGCCTGATGAGGGATGATGAGTAAAATAAATGGAGAGCAGTACACAGAGGAACCTCTGATGTCCTCAGTCTAAAGGAGGAGAGAGAGAGTTCAGGACCATTTGACCTCTGACCCCAACCCTGCTTACACGATTGCATGTGTTTGTTGGGTTAAACTTTTCTTCATTTCTAAATTCTTCTTTACTTTTTTTCAACTTTTTCTTTTATTTTTCTTTCCACTTTTTTAACAAGCAGCAAAAACACTGGAGGGTGGCTTTGTGGAGAAGCCCCCCCCCCCGAGGCTTATTCCAAAGCGTAACTTTGTTTGAACACGCCTTGTCTTTTCTCTCGTCAGCTTTCTTCACTCTGAGAAATCAAAACGCAGACCTGCCTCGGCACACGTCAGCCCTCCGCCCGTTTTCCTACTGTCAGATCGGATGGAGGTGTAGAAGAACGTTAAAGCGAGGCAGAAAAATCCACTTCAATCAACGTCTGCTGGTGCCATAAATGTTCTATGTCTGTTTACGAAGAAAGAATAGTCAGTCAAAGATGCTAAAACGCGACAAAGTTTTCATTGCCTTCGACACCAGTCAGATTTGTAGTCTTGTTGATTTTGTTTTCACAAAGCAGATGGACTGTTCTTTTCCAGCCAATTTATTCTATATCAGAAATGTCTGCATTTGTGTCAAAGCCCTCACTTTAGTCAGCAACAGCTGCAGAACCTATTGTTTCTGCCCTTCCCCCTTAAACAACTGTCCTGGACGAGTAGATAGCAACACAATAACAGCCCACTTTAAGTTTTCCTCTTTAATTCATGCTTCAACTCAATATTCACCCTTTTTTCTTCCCATATTGACTCAGAACAGGGAATCAGGAAAACAGCGAGGGTGAACACATCTGATTGCCAACTCTGAGCAGTAAAAGTTTGCATGAAGGTGCTGGGTAAATCAATCTGGCTATTTTCCCCCCGTTTGCATTGCAGCAGCTGTTTCCCACATCCGCTTTTCCTCCTTTATTGTGATGTGAGATCATGCAAATTCAAAAATCACCCGCTGTCACTGAAGGCAACAACTTTGAAAGATTTACTGCAAAAGGTTCGAGCCCTAAACTGCCTTTTATCAAATCGATAAATCTTTTTTTTATCGTATGATTAGGATCTCAAAATCTTAATTAGCAGCCTCAGGTGTGAGGGGATCTCAGGATGTGAGGAGTCATGCCAAAGAGCTAGAGCACAAAGAGAAAAACGAAACTCACCCTGGAAATGCTTGTGGTGAATTCTCTGGTGCGAAACGGATCGGGAGTTTGAGACGGCGGACACAATGAACCTTCGCTCCCCCTGCAACTTCAGCTGGCCAACTAAGAGCTCGGGGCAACCCAAGGGGCAGATAGATGGCCATCGGAATCACGGCACATGACAACAGCTGTCTGTTTCACAATTCGGCACTTTGATTAGCGAACGATGGTAGTGAGTGATGTGACCTAATTCCTACATATCTGGGCAGGGCACTACTGAGAAAAGAGAAGTGCCGGCATCAGATGGAAAAAAGACCGAAGCCCGATCACATGCTGCAACAGCAAACGCACCTGTTCTCATTTATAGTTACAATTCCTGCATTTAGTGATGTTTATAAACTTGAAAAAATATTCTGTGTCCTCTCAGCGCAGGCCGTCTTCGGCCTTGGTTTTATGTAAACGTGTGCATCATCTAAACACAACACCTATCCAACTCCACGTTTCACTTTAGACGTTCAGACGACTGACAAACGGCCGTTTACGGTGGCACACACCGAAACAGAAAGGAGATGCAGTGTTGTCTGCATCCAGCTCTTTCATGTGGCATTGCCACTAAAACATGATATGAGCTGAATTTGCAAACAAGAGGGATCATGTCCCATATCAGCCTGCTCCTGCAAACACGCTGAGGTATGGAAGCGAATGTGATTTCCCAGACTCGACTTAGCGTGCTTCGCTTCGGGATATGTGCATGCGTTCCCGGTGATTTATAGATGTGGAGTAGTCAGCCACAAAGCCACGGGGCTGAGACAGACAGAATGGGGGGGTGAGCAAAACAACAGTACTTAATTCAACTCTGACTATTTGTTTTAAATGTGTTTCTGCAGGAAATCCACGCAAATTTCTCCAACCATGTCTTTCTGTTGTGCCGTTTTCCGCCACGGTTCAAAATTGTTGCCGAGGAACTCACAAACGTCCCAAGATTAAACTAAAAGTATGAAGGAAACATTGTCTTTTTAGGTTTTATTAGTTCCCTAACTCTTTGTGCTGTGTTTGTTTCTCCCAGACTCCACAGAGAGCGCATCTTTGTGACTCCCTGGGAAATATGCAACAGAAACAGATGGCATTTCCCCCAATAAGCGATTCTTAATCCTGCATGAATTTTTCTAAGTTGTGAATTTGCAAAAAGCATCATTGTGTGCATGCGATTCTTCCCGTCTCGCTCCCTGAGCCGGTTCTGTTCATTCTTTTCGGGCTGGCAGCTGTTCACACAGACAGCTGCACTGACCATTCATCGTAGCCGAGAGGCAATTAAAAAAATTCAAGCCAATGTTGTGTTTTAGTTTATCCGCTGCTATTCCTACACATAATCCCCTCTCATGCACCCCTTCACTATAGACGCATGCCAACTCTTTCTCAGGCACATGCTCACTAACAGCCTCATCAGGAATGTCAGTAACCAGTGATGTGAGATTTTTTTTCCCCCCTCTGAGAATAAAATCCCAAATTTGTCGCCGTGACATGGCAGCATTGGATTCAAGGCATTGTTAAGGCCCGAGCCACGAGGAACCGTGTAATCTCCAAGACTTACTGGTGCACAGATTTTTTCCATATCTTCTTCAGTGGAGGTATGCAGCCACGCAGAGTCTGACTGGCGTCGCGGTGGCATTCAGCAGAGGGTTAAATCGAGCTGAGGCCACGCTTTGTGCCACGAGCACTGACGCATTCTTATATGTCCACGTCAAGACAGGCATTCATACAAGAGCGCTTGCACGCTCCCGGTTGTGCTGCTATCTCCCAAACAGACGCACGACATGTCTCCAGTTGTTCCCTCCTCTTCAGCATGCAGCAGGTGTGAGGTGGAGCTGGGCGAGCTGCTCTGAGGGCCAGGCAGGCCTTGGAACAGCTCTACTATTGTTTCTAATAGAAGCGCTCTTTTGGAATTGCTTTGGAAAGTTTTACGGGATTAAGCCACACACTCTGAGCAAACAGTCATTTAGGGAACATGCCTGTATTAGATTAGCACGTGCGGTGGATCAGTGTTCAGTCGGTTGTCATTTGTTAAAAAAAAATCTTTGGTATCTTTTTTTGCAAAAAGAAAAATGCATCTCTTTATTTTTTCAAACAGACAGACGGACTGAGCATACACCAGCTGTGGATCGCTTTATGTTCTTGGAGGACAGGAAGTGAGGACCATATGATGCAGTGATTTCTGACTTCCTTTCCATTCTGGTTTAATGATTGCTGGGAATAAAAGGACCATGATCTGTAACGGCCAGTCCCCCCACCCCGCCACCCACCAGAGTACTTCCTGTTTGCCACATGTGTACATCCAGCATTTCAGCATTTTTTGTTGGAATAATGTGAATAAAGATATATATTTTTTATCAACAGAGATAAATACATCTGTTTTAAAAGTGTCTGAAGTACACAAGGCGTAAGTGTTGCTTCATTTGACTGCATCGGTTCAGACACCAATGATTTCTGTCTCAATACTTTCCATTAACTAAAAACACACCTCCTCTGCTTGGCGTTTGCTGAACATGTTTGATTTTGGCCCTCTTTTATGTTGAATTCATTTCACAGTTTTCATTGGTTCACTCAATCCATTGTTTTACACATTTGTCCTGTACCAGAATGTTTCACCTTTATTTGTAATTTGTATTTTGTAATTTGAATTGCTTTATTTTTGATTTATTCAATATATTTACCTTCTACTGTACCATGTTCAGCGCCTTGGGCTTCCTGACAGGGTTGCGGAAGGCGCTTTATAAATAAAGCTTTGATGTGATTGATTGATTAAGAGTACAGAATATTTTGTTTATCGTAATTCAACTTGTATGGATGCTACATCTGTGGACAGTCATGAGAAGGTCCATCTGATTATGTTGAGTATCGTCGTCGTCGTCGTCTTCCTCCGCTTATCCGGGTCCGGGTTGCGGGGGCAGCATCCCAACCAGGGAGCTCCAGACCGTCCTCTTCCCGGCCACCTCCACCAGCTCCTCCGGCAGGACCCCAAGGCGTTCCTGGACCAGATTGGAGACGTAACCTCCCCAACGTGTCCTGGGTCGACCCGGGGGCCTCCTGCCGGCAGGACATGCCCGAAGCACCTCCCCAGGGAGGCGTCCAAGAGGCATCCTGACCAGATGCCCAAACCCCACTGACTCCTTTCGATCCGGAGGAGCAGCAGCTCTACTCCGAGTCCCTCCCGAATGTCCGAGCTCCTCACCCTATCTCTAAGGCTGAGCCCGGCCACCCTACGGAGGAAACTCATTTCGGCCGCTTGTATCTGCGTTCTCGTTCTTTCGGTCATTACCCAAAGCTCATGACCATAGGTGAGGATTGGGACGTAGATCGACCGGTAAATCCAGAGCCCGGCTTTCTGGCTCAGCTCCCTCTTCACCACGACAGATCGGCTCAGCGTCCACATCACTGCAGATGCTGAACCAATCTGCCTGTCGATCTCCCGATCCCTCCTACCCTCACTCGTGAACAAGACCCAACTCCGGGTTAGGGTTAGGGTTAGAGAGAGGTCCTACCTCAAGTGGAGGAGTTTATGTTAAGAGTATGTTTAACCCAATTTGTACAGACCTTTGTTAGTGTGGAATATTTAAAACAGGGATGGGCAATATATCGGCATTAATATCGGTATCGGCCGATGTTAGTCACTTTTTTAAAATATCGGTATTGGTTCGATAAATAAAACCGGGCCAATATTATCAACCAATATTTTTTCCATCTCGTCTACATTTGTTTGCCTGTTTCAGAGGGTGAGGGAGGTGATGTGTAATTGTTTAGTCATGTGAACAATGAATGAAATCATCTCAGAACCGTAAATGTATGTGTTGTGTGTACATAATAAGGTAAATTCTGATTTAATAATTTTGATTCTAAACAAAATCTGCTGATTTTAGAAGCATCAATGTCAGTATATCGATATCGGCAAATATTGGTTATCGGCCATGACAGTGATCTTAATATTGAACATCGGTATCGGTCCAAAAATTTCATATTGGTGCATCACTAATTTAAAATACTCCAAAATACCTGATGTTTCTTTCTTCTACTTATTGCTGATGTAATATTTGTCTGAACATGCTGTAAAGGTTGTCGTTAATATTTTAGACACTCATGTGAGCTGTACTTTCAGTGAATTCATGAATTACAAAGCTAAAGACGCCATAGGAAATAATTGAAGTTGGGTTAACTTTTGCTACATGAAACAATAATAAAACTGTTCTTTGATTTTCTTCTCTTCCAACCCCCTCTTCATCACCCTCGTCTCTCCCAAAGTCCTGATTTCTCGTCCCGGAGCATTACAGAGTAATAGTGAGCAGCTCGGAGTGCTCGTGTAATTTCTCGGGCTCACGTGCTGTGAAAAGCCAGGGCAGGGGCCAGGAGCTTCAAAGCCAGACTGATCATTCCTCAATCTTTCTCCACTGATGGAAGGTAGGGGGTGAGGGGGGAGACAAATACAGATGGACAAACAAACCAGGGGGAGTCCAAACTGAAGCAGATGTGATAGTACGGACACCCAGCTGGAAGGTAGAGGGATAACGTTCTTATTTCTTTTTCTCCTCCCCCAACACTACTTCAAGTGAGGAGAAAGAAACAAAAGTGAATTTTTTAAAGGAGAAGGTGGAATGACATCACAGATTATTAAGGTGGGGGTGGGTCTAATGAGAGGCCTGGTCGCTAAGAAGAAGCAGGAAACCGAGGCTGAAGCAATTTGAGAAGCCGAGGCCTCTGTCTGCAGCTGTGCACTCAGTTTTCCTAGTCCAACTCCACAGCTGCACGACCGACAACGCCGCGAGTATTTACCCATGACCTCTCCTCTACTTCTCAGTCCAGTCGACCCAATTTTATGAAAGAGCGTGTCTTTGTCTGCGTTTAAAAAGAGAGAGAAACGGGAATGTGTCAAATACTGCACAGAGCTTTTTTTCCTGGTTTTGTTTGATGGAGTTATTGAGTCAGTGGAGCAGCTCACTTCTTATTAAAATCACGTGTTTCTCATCGGAGATTTTCTAACTTGGAAAACATGCAGTCATCCCAGCAGATGTTGTACAGGGAAGAGGAATCGGCTGCAGATTCTGAACAAAAAACTTACTTTAATGTA